ATCCCTCCTTTTTTGCTTTGAAATACCACTAATTTAAAGATGACAACAAACCACATGCCTATTTCAAAAGCTGAAAGCTTTTTATTAATTTTCATTGTATTAAAGACTAGACCCACAAGGCAGCCTACTACTAAGCCTGAAAAAATAAAAGCAAATGATACATGCTTTACGTCAGCGTTATTTGCTTGCCTGAAGAGTTATCAAAAGTATGAGAGAGAGCAGAAGCAATGTAGATGAATGGGTAGTGATCTTAGACGATTTCATATGTGCCGGATAATGGGCTTGAGTTTATTGATTTGCAAGCAATAATTACAGGTTTATACAAATGTATATGCAGACAAATGGTTTTCCTTTTTTTTCGAGTTTATTATTTATATATATACTCGTATAAATAAACATAAAAAATGAAATCATTCATTTATATTCATTGCATCAAACATTTCATTTTGACAAAAATTTAAATGTCACATATAGTGAAAAAAGCAGTTCAGTTTAAGTGAAACTTTTTTTATTTCACACTATGTACAGGTTTTCACAAAACAACTTGGAGAAGATTGGCGAAAATATGACAAAGAAGGCATGGTCCTATCAAAGTTATCTACCACAAAGCTTTCTGTTTGCAAAATCCACAACCTCTGTGGAGAAGAAAATGGAACTAGCAATATTCAGAAGAAAAAAGAATTCCTTTCTGGGCACTGGACAAGTAATCAATGTCAACGTTAGACTTTGCTTGGTATATGCGTTCAATGCGTTCAAATTAAAAACAACAAACATTCCATCGATGATAAAAGATTCACTCAAGAAAAAATATCGATTGTTTGATATACTGTTTCCAAAAAATATTTTGAAAAAATTACCAGATAATTGAAATTTATGTAAAAGTTCAGTGTACCATAATTATAGTTTTCTTTTTCTTATTCTTTAAACCTTGATTTTCATCTCTGTATGTGTGCACAAATTTAATTTTTTGATTTTTAATTTATATTTATTGTTTCCTTTATGATTTGAAAAGTTTTAATATGAAAGATATATCATACACATGATTATGATTTCTTTAATTAACATCCTGTCTTTTTAGTAAACGTTTCAAATCTAAGTCAAAACAAAGAAGAGTTTGGTATTCAAGTTTTCTTTTTAAAAATACTTCGCAGTGATTCTTGTACATTTATACCTTTTTGGTACTCCTGATATCTGATATTTTTTTCCCTCATATTTAAAGTTCGTTTTAAAACTTATAACACAGGTCAGTTACAATTTCAAATTAAAGTTTATAAATGGGTACGTTGTTTTGATATTTTTTATAAATGATAAGAAGTTCTTTATAATTTATTGAGTTCAAAAAATGATTATTTGCTTTATATATATATATATATATATATATATATATATATATATATATATATATATATATATATATATCTAAGCTATGGTTTTAAGTTTTTTTTTCAGTGAATTAGCCCTGAACTATTAAAAACTATCTTTCATTTGTTGATCGATAAAACAATTTCAACTACAAATACTCAAACATTTTCTGCAATTACTTTTGGAGTAGAGAGATAAAGATCATTGATAAATATAAAATTGTTTTGTTACACTCCTGACAAAAGTAAAATTTAAAATAAAACCCCCAAATTTCAAAGTTCTGTCAACACCAAGTTTAAAAACAAGATGTTCCCTTTTAATGTCACAAAACTAACTAAAAATATTAAATAAACTGTAATTAGAAGTTGAAAGTATATTTTATAGGATACCAGTATATTACTTCGATCATTTGGAAAGCACTGTATGCAATCAAAAGTCATCCAGAAGTATTCTACTCTTCCTTTTTTTTTATTAATTAATATCTGATAATAGGTAATTCGAACATTTGTGTTGCACTCCTGAAAGAAGTCTTTTAAGAAGCATAAATTACACAAGAGTGTGTTTTGTTGTTTCAGTGAAGTAATCGATTTACTTGAATTTTATAATAATTTTCCAGTGTTTTTTATTCATTTTAATTCATCTAAAGAAGAGAAAGATTGCAATGATTAAAACAGTCTATAAAAATATAATTTAATACAAAATTATTCAAATAGATCTTTATTGATCAAAGCATACCTAGAAGCAAGAAAAGGCTAATTTTACTATTGAATCTATCTCCAAAAATTGTTCCATCCTTGACCTTAAAATATGAATCTAAAACACAGACAGAAACTTTTATTGACAGAATTATTTGGTAAGATATGTACATTAAAAATTAAAACAATGATTTGTTAAGCTGTATAGTTAACTTAACAAATACTTGCTAAAATGTTTTCTGAATTGGCTTGGTTCTCTAACTTGTTTTTTTTCTTCTTCTTTTTTTTTTATAAAGTGGCCTTTGATATTCGTAGTAAGAAGCAAATATGAAGTTGTTAGGACTTGTATACAGCTACTCTTATGTTTCCTGATCTTTACCTGGTTTCTCCTATGAGTTGTTTAGAATACATCTTTAATTTGAATATCATGTTTTCAACAGACACTTGTTAGATATTGTAATTAATTTACAATTTTTATCTTGGTTTTCTAGACCAATAAATTAAGAGGATATCGTGAACTAATTTCTGATATTCTGAACAAATAGTTTTTAAAGATTCTTTTCCCCTAATGTTAATGATACCCATAACAAAATGTTATTTTAGATATGAATATGTTTATTTTTATTTTTATTTTTTTTTTTTATTTTAGCCATATTTTAAAGACTGTTTTGTTTTTAAATTAAATTAGAAACAGTTAATCGATATTCCTAAAACCGATTTTCTTGACAAGCAATTGTCAAGACTTGTTTCTAATTTTATCTAAATTGTCTTCCCTTGGCTCTCTAACAATCAATTGTTAAGAATAATTACCTTTATATTCTATTCTTAGTAATCAGTTTTTTTTCAGACTTATTTTCTTTGCAAATAACTGATTAAACATATTAACTTAATTGTGAAATTCTTAACAAACAGTTGTTAAGACATTTGTCTTTCAGTTTTCTGAATTGACTTCCCTTTGTATTCTAACAACTATTTGTTAAGACTTCTTCATGAAGCTGTCTTTTACAAGCAGTTGTTAGGGTTAAGACTTATTCAGGAATCAGGAATCTTTTTTTTTTTAAAGTTAAGACATTCTCCTAATGTTTCCTGAGTTGCCTAACCTTATTCCTCTAACAACTAGTTGTTAAGAATATTTCTTTAAACTTGTATGTGCTATTCTTAATAATTTTCATTCATTGTCCTTGTCTCTAACAAATTTTAAAAGGATTCCAGGGACCTACTTCTAGCATCCTTAACAAGCAGTTGTTAAGAATTTATTCTGTTTGTCTTCCTTTGCATTTCTAACAACCAGTTGTTAAGAATATATCTTGTGAAATTCTTTTGGTATTCTTAACAAGCAGTTGTTAAGAATTTATTCCGTTTGACTTCCTTTCCATTCCTAACAACCAGTTGTTAAGAATATATCTTGTGAAATTCTTTTGGTATTCTTAACAAGCAGTTGTTAAGACTTTATTCCATTTGACTTCCTTCACATTTCTAACAACTAGTTGTTAAGAATATATCTTGTGAAATTCTTTTGGTATTCTTAACAAGCAGTTGTTAAGACTTTATTCCATTTGACTTCCTTCGCATTTCTAACAACTAGTTGTTAAGAATATATCTTGTGAAATTCTTTTGGTATTCTTAACAAGCAGTTGATAAGACTTTATTCTATTTGTCTTCCTTTGCATTCTAACAACCAGTTGTTAAGAATATATCTTGTGAAATTCTTTTGGTATTCTTAACAAGCAGTTGTTAAGAATTTTTTCCGTTTGACTTCCTTTCCATTCCTAACAACCAGTTGTTAAGAATATATCTTGTGAAATTCTTTTGGTATTCTTAACAAGCAGTTGTTAAGACTTTATTCCATTTGTCTTCCTTCGCATTTCTAACAACCAGTTGTTAAGAATATATCTTATGAAATTCTTTTGGTATTCTTAACAAGCAGTTGTTAAGACTTCATTCTATTTGTCTTCCTTTGCATTTCTAACAACCAGTTGTTAAGAATATTTTGTGAAATTCTTCTGGTATCCTTAACAAACAGTTGTTAAAATTCTGTATAGAAGTGCAACAGTTTCACTTTATTTTATTTAACAAGCAATTACTTTAGAATTCCTTTAGCTCATTTTTCGTGTTCTTAACAAACAGTTGTTAAGACATGAAAGATATATAATGGTTTCTTTAACAAGCATTTGGTAAGAATTGGAAAATAAAGTGTTTAAAGTATGCATAGATTTCAGTTGTCATTTATGTACTTAACAACTATACAGAGCTTTTGATCAAATGGAATTGATCAAGTTAGAATGGAAGGTGTTCGCAGCTGTTGCAGAAAAAATACACAACCCGCGTAAGCGGGTTATGTAAATTTTTTTCTGCAATAGCTGCGACATTAATTCCCGTAATAATAAACAAAGAAATTCATTTTATTGTTTATATTTATATCTGAATAAAAAAACATTCAAAGTAAAATTAAACATGTTAAATATTGTATTATAGAAGTGTATGACATTGCATGTATAATTGATGGAACAGCTGTTGCTCAAGAAATCTATACTGGTGGCTTGCTTAGTGTTGTTTACTCACAGATAAACAGCAATGGATTTCTTAAGAAATAAAGGAAATACTATTCAGTGGATGTAAATATTCCTATATCTGGTATATCAGGATTTAAGTTAGCTCTTAAGGTTGAAAGGTTCCTGAGACACCTTTGTCCTGCTGTTCTTCAGATTGTTTTAAAGATTTTTTTCTTTTATGTCCTATGTCCTCAATGGACAGCAGACACTTGGTGATCAGAAAAGCTCACTTGAGCTTATATCTCAAGCGAGCTCAAAACTGAAGGCAGAAATTCCTGAGAAACAGTGAAGCATTTTTTTGGATATTAAACTTTTGAAAGAGAACGGTGCTCAAGCTCAAAGGTTTGACCTTAGACTTATCATAAAATAATTATAAAAATTAATCTCTTACTTTTTCTGAAGATCAGACAAAATGTTTTGAGTCATGATGGAAATTGACATCTCAGATTTTGTCCAGCCCTCGTAGTCCTCAACTATAACCTCTACCTGCTCCTCGCTCACTTCTACCTCCATCTCTGTCTCATCCTCATGATCAACACACCACACTAAACCTGTGTAGAATTTTAGTAAAGTGTAGCTCTTTGGATGGGGAATAAAAGACTCAGACAAATAATTATTCCTTATTCAAATAATTCCTTGCTTTACAAGATATGCAAGCTACATGTATATGTGCTTTCAATATTAATTTTAATGAAATATAAAACTGGGCTGACAAGATTCATGTATATGTGCTTTCAACATTAATTTTTATGAAAATTTATATAAAACTGGGCCAAAAGTTAGATGCATACTCATATATAAATGAGACAAAAAACTCAAAATCATCCATCAATCATCAAATGATTCATCCTAATGCATAAACTAAGAAAGTTTGATATTCTTGACCACATACACGTAGTGTCCAAATTGCAACAATTTTCCAGATATTATTCATTAAATTCTTTTGAAAATGAATTCCTGTAAAATTCTAGAACTATGTCACTATGACCTTCTTTAAGCTGACTGTTTATATTCTAATTAAAAGAATTATTTAATAAAATATGTCTTTAGTTGTCTCTGTCTGCACACAATACATATGCAATACATATCATATGCAAGCTACAATACATTTTCTGAAGGACTGTTGAGAAGCCCTCCTATCGTAGGTTTGCTTCCAGCCAGAGTATATATTATTTTGGTAATTTAAAAAGAATCATCTTTTGTCAGCTTTATAAGGAAATTAATACTTTTTGAATGAGTTTTAAGTCATAAAACAATGCTTACCTTCATCAATCTCTTCAGGTTCAATCATGCCTTTACTCAAAGCTTCTCTTGCTAATTTCTCAGAAAATCCTGAATCCATGATGGCTGAGATAAATTTTGCAATAGCAGTCGCCTTAGCTTGATTTTCATTATCAGAATCCAATTCCTCCTCCTCTACATTTTCTTCCAACTCTGCTTTTTGTTCAGCCTCCTTCTGGAATACATCACCTTTGGCCTTTTTCAGAGCACCAATCAAATCCATCTTTGTACAGTCATGTTTGACATTTGATAGCAGTGGATAAATGAAATTTGATGGCTCAACCTCACCTCCCATTAAAACTATCTCTTTTTGCAAAATCACCATTTGGTCAATAGTGCAGAAATTTAAATGGTGATACTCATCCCTTTTTTGTTCAATATATTTCAGCCACTCATCTAGACAGTTCTCCATGAATTTTGCCAGTTTTGGAATAACAGTGCTGACATCATCATCCTCACTTCTTCTTCCCTTTAACTGGATGCACCCCTCCCCACTTCCAAATTTGACAAAGGCACACACTTTCCTTTCAGGGTCACAAAGAAATCTGGCCTGCCAGTTTGTAAATAGCACACAGCCAGATGACACAAGTTTGATGTACACATTGCAAAGTCTTACTATTGCATCATACACCTATTAAACAAATAAAGAATATAAAATCAGTGGTAAAATGCCTTCCAAGTCCCCCCTCCCCCCCCCCCCCCTTAAATTTACAATTTCATACTTTGAATGTTCATAAAATTGCATTGTAAAATCAACAATTCAGAAAAGGGAGTTTCTTACAATGGTAAACCTCTCCACATCATCTCTGCCTTGTTCTGCCTTTCCAGCCACCAGCATGAGTTTACTCTGGAGTTCCTGGAGCTCCTTATACTGGTATCTCCTTGGAAGTCGAGACCCTTGTTCATCTTTCTGGACATGCAATTGCAGGACATCATCTATTGTCTACAACAATATAATCATGATACTAGTAATGAAACAAATATTTTTGCTTTTTTTTTTTTACTTTTTCTTGTTTTCCAGTAATTCTTAATTACCATTTGAACTAAATATTTAAGTTCAATGACATTGCATGATCAAGAAAAAGACAAAAAAGAAAATTGCAGAGGAACGAGATGCAAATTTTGAAATAATTTAACATATTCAATTTAGTAGCAGTGCATCTGTCTTGCATAAATATCAAAGTTAATGTTGACAACCAAAAATGTGATCACACCAAAATATTGTGTTGTCAGTAAAAAAACATGAGGCAACTTGACAATTTTGAAACAAGCACAAACAATTTATTGAAACAACTTATACCTAATTGGCATCCACATCAATTATCAAATAAACCTTTAAATTATAATGAAGATAAACGTCAATATGTTGAATGTCGATGAAAAAATGCCTTACAAACATGCAAATGAGACACTATATTGTTTTAGACTTTACATGCATCAGAGGCAGAAACGACAATATCAATTAATATATATTATAGGAAGTTGTTGACAAGTGCTAACAGTCCCATCACAATTTACAATGTACATGCCTTTAAAACGTCGTAATTTTTATCAATGGATGATGAATTTGGGGCTTTCGCACTCTCACATATGTCTATTAGTTCTTATACTCTTTAATGCAATTGACAAATACGTTTAACATTCTAATCTGAATTGAAATCGGCATGTTTTGTATTCTCTGCTACCTCATGTTTTCCCAGTCAGACGGCCAAAGACACCTTTAATTTGGAGAGTTCCAGTAATGGAAATAGAATATATTGCATGGACAGATGCACAACGTAATTCCTATATGACATCCCAAGCTTCCTTTTCCAGTAGCATAATAAACGGCATGTTATGTGTGCATTTAGTATTGGTAAAAGTAAATTGCACAGCACTATATGATTACAATAGCTCACAGCAACATCTCCTTAATGGGAAAAGTCATGCTCTTTGATGGAATTTAAATTAAGATTTAAACTCATACAAAGACTATGATCATTGTCTTGTTGACTTGTATTCTTTAGAAAATAATTTTAAACACTTTTACCATGGTTACTTGATATATAAGTATATACTATTAGATAAAAAAAAAATACATGTAACAATTACCCAGGTTGATCTTACAGTCTGATACATGTATAACTTACTGGTTTTTCCTTGTGGATATCTGGGTCAACCTTTCCTACCATATATATTCCTACAGAGTTGATGGCCTCTGCTTGTTTCATGGATGTTACTTCTACAGAGCCCTGGGCAGATTTTACCTCTTTTAACCATTCTAAATGTCTGCTTGTATCTCTCTATAAAACAAAATAGTTTTCATCTCTTTAAATCTTTACTAGCTATTCAAGAGCTTTATTATAGATCATATGTTATAGAACTGGTGGAGGTGGGGTGGGGTGGGGGGGGGGGGGGGGAAGGTGTTTTAAAATTATTTTCCATTTTATGTTGATTTCTATAAACAAAGAACATATATAGGGTAATCTCTTTTTGTTTTCCCAAATAGGTTTATGTTTCATGAAAAATGACATAAATATCTAATATAAACATGATAAATATGACAAAATCATTTAAATATGTTAACTTTTGAAAACTGAATTGGAAGTAGATAGCAGAACAATACTTATCATTAACATTTCTTATACTGGAATGGGCCTTACTAGTTTTGTTGGCAGATGTGGATCAGCTTTGAGCTCTTTCCAAACAAGCTGGCATTTTTCCAGGAGTTTCAAATAATCACACTGGTCACCCAAGTTGAAAATCAATGGAGCATATCCAGTAGTGGCAGCATGAAGACATTTGACCTTTGCAACCTCCAAGTCACCTTCACCAGCCGAGATACTGGCAAGGTCAACAAACACCTTCAACTCCTTCAGACCTGAATAACAGAATTGAAGAAAAATAATTTGCATTCACTGAAGTATTTTAGTTATGTAACTATATTACATTCGCTTTTGTAATGTATAATATTGTGGAATTATTTAAATTCTATTTTAATAAACAAAAACTTTCATTAAATGTATACTCATGCTTATAAGCTAAAAAATAACCAGCTAAATATTAAATAGAATCTTTGTTTAAGCTCAACTTGCTTTCCATTGACTTTCTCAGCCAGTTAATGAGTTGTTTACAGTTGATGAATTCCTCAAGACATTTTGCATGTTCTTCCCTCATTCCTCTCAAAACATTACATGCATCAATTAACGAAGTGTCAAATTCACTCATTTTTGTTTCTGCTCCTTGAACCTGCAATTTTGTCAAAATATCAGAGCACTGACAGATTACAATGAGTTCCCTACAAATCATTCTACTTCAAATCAAACAAGAGGCCCAAGGGCCTTGAATCGCTCTTCTGATAAACTGTACAACCTATCACTTCTATATGAAGCCTCTAAGTATCCTGTATATTCAGACAAAGCCATGAAATTCCAAAGGTAGGTCATCATGACCTAAATTTTAGATGAAACACTCTGAGAACCCAAGATGATTCTAAGCCAATTAGTACCTGAGACTAGGTCATGGTGACTAACTTATTACTTGTCATTCTCTAAGGACCCAAGATGCATCAACTAAGTTTGATGATTCTAAGCCAATTACTACCTAAAATATTTTTAAAATTATAACCATAAAATTTCAAAAATAGGTCACAGTGACCTACTTTCAGATGACATACTTTGAGGACCCGTGATGCATTAACCGACAAAGTTTGATGATTCTTAGCCAAATAGTACGTGAAATATTTAAATAAAGCCATAAAATTTCAAAAATAGGTCACAGTGATCTCCTTTTCAGTCGACTAACTCTGCAGACCCAAGATGCATCAACTGACAAAGTTTGATGATTCTAAGACAATTAGTACCTAAAAATATTTAAATAAAGCAATAAAATTTCAAAAGTGGGTCGCAGTGACCTACATATCAGTCAACTTGCTCCAAGGACTAAAGATGCATCAACTGACAAAGTTTGATGATTCTAAGCCAAATAGTGCCATAAAATATTAAATACAGCCATGAAATTTCAAAAGTAGGTCAAGGTGACCTACTTTTCAGTTGTCATATTCCAAGGACCCAAGATGCATCAACTGACAAAGTTTGAAGATTCTAAGCCAATTAGTACCTGAAATATTTAATTAAGGCCATAAATTTTCAAAAGTAGGTCACGGTGACCTACTTTTCAGTCAACTTACTCCGAAGACCCAAGATGCATCGACTGACAAAGTTTGATAATTCTAAGCCAATTATTACCCTAAATATTTAATTATAGTCATTTAAATAGAAAAGTAGGTCAGGGTGACCTACTTTTCAGTCGACCTACTCTGTGGACCCATGATACATCAACTGACAAATTGTGATGATTCTAAGCCAAATAATTCCCTAAATATTTGAATAAAGCCATAAAATTTCAAAAGTAGGTCACTGTGACCTACTTTTCAGTTGACGTTTTTTGAGGACCCAAGATGCATCAACTTACGAAGTTTTATGATCATAAGCCTTAAAATGTCCAAATTCAGCCTCTAAAATGCTTTGAAATTGAATGCCTGCAAAGTTCAAAAAGTAGGTCACTGTGACCTACTTTTTAATAAATATGTTTTATGGCCCCAAGATGCATCATCTTACAAGATTTAATGATTCTAAACCTCTCAGTATTCGAATTAATGACCTAAATTGTTTCGAAAAAGATTAGCCATAAAATTCAAAAAGTAGGTCAAGGTGACCTACTTTTTAGTTGACACACTCTGAGGACCCAAGATGCATCAACTAACAAAGTCTGATGATCACAGGCCTTAAATTGTTCAAAATATGCCTCTAAATCATTCTGAAAAAGAATGGCCGCAAAATTTTAAAAGTAGGTCACCATGACCTACTTTTGAGTCAACATGATATGAGGTCCTTAGATGCATCAACTGGCAAGATTTGATGATCCTAGTCCTTGGTCAACTTTGAAGTGACCTTGAGACCACGCCCTTTGCCCTAGAGTTATTCTTCGTGCAAATTTTAATCTACAACATATCCTCATCCTTATGCATTAAGTTTGGTGATAATCTGCCTAGTGGTTCTTGAGAAGAAGATTTTTTAGCAACCAGTACTTTTGTTTCTATTTTCCTAATTATCTCCCCTTGTTTAAGGATTACAACCCTTGTTTTAGTATAATCGGGAGCCCTTGGGCCAAGGATACCCTGTGACAAATTTGACAATAATTGGCCAAGGGGTTCTTGAGTTATGGCCCATATTCTAAAAAGTTTACGCACACCACACAAATGGCCATAGCATTAGCTCTTTGAGCCTTTGGCTCAGAAGAGCTAAAAACATACAGTTTATGTGTATCTTAAAACCTGACAGAGAGTCACTAAATTTTTTACTGAAGTGCACTCTTAGTAGTTTGAGCTGCAGATTAGGAAATTGGAAGAGTCAGAATATATATATTCTGGACAAGGATTTATGCAAACTCATTCTGACCTTGACCTTTTACCTATAAACACACTGGCCAGTGGGAGAGAAAGTATAGTATCTAGCCAAGTAAAAATAGAAAAGCAAACAGATCACTTATGACTGAGGTCCAAATTGCCTATTCAAATGAAGGATAACAGTTTCAAGGATGGACAAGATCTTTTTTGTGAAATAGTACAGCATTATTTTAGGTTGAGTAAAAAAACACTGATTTATTATATTTTGTTAAATAGATGCAGAGAAAAATGTAAATTTTTCTGTTTAAAAATCTATTACATGTACTTCACAAAATGCTTCATACCATTTTGTCAATCATCTTGACTGGTTCAAAGTCTCCCTTCAGTTCATATTCTTTGACAACTTTTAAAATAACATTGGCACCATAGACACACTGCTCCAGTATTCTGTGCTGTTGAAATTGTCGGATCCTCTCCTTTATCCAGTCCTTGTCATTTGTCTTGCCAATGGGTAGATATGAAAGTTGTTCTTCAAGATTATCAGCAGGAATGTTTCCAAAGTATTGCTGAAACTCTCTAAAAGTGATATCTCCTGAGGCAATTTTCCGACCAAGACCTAACCAGGTGTGCTTAACATTCTGCCATACATTTTCCACCACTTCTTCAATTGTTAAAGGGCTTTTCTTCTTGGCCTCTTCTCTCTGACCTTGTTTTATCCACATGTTAAAGAACAAAACACCCTCCGACATCCTAAACATAATTATTTTTCCTTTATAAGCAAACTGATTTTATGGAAACATCAAAATAACGAAATTTATATAAATTCTATTTGGCAACAAATTTTTAGATATCTCAAAATTTAAAATAATAATCTTACTTTATTTTTCATTAAGTATCCATATTTGAAATTCTTTAATTGTCATAAAACTTAAGTTGTTCATGGTACATTTTGTATTAAATGCTTCCCTAACATACTCGGAGTCAATTTGAGGTAACTGCACATTCGCTATGTACTCTTTAATGAATTTGTTATATAAATATAGCAAATAACGGATATAGCAAAGTAATTTCACAGGTCCTCAGGACTTTGCTATAACCGAGTTTTATTGTAGATTTATTTTGTCCCCTGTTTATTCCCAAGTCAAGTTTTATCTGTCTTTTTTTTCTACTGTGACCCCATACCAACCTGGGGGCCAATTCTACAAATTGTAATCTACATTGTACACTATATGTAAATGCCAAGTTCAAGATATCAAGTTCACTAATTGTAAACCTTCCGTTCTTTAGAGTTGGAATGTATTCACAAGAATTTCCCCCATATTTTCCCTTATAAAGCTTTAACCCCCTATTGCCCCCACCCTTCAAAAACCCAAGAAACTTATATTCTCAACAAAACAGTATATTTTAGCTACTTTATTACTGTCACTTCTTTTTTTGTGGGGCCCATTTTTTTAGTTTGAGGAAAAAATATTGGTTTGAGGGGATTTGATTTTGTTGTTGAAGAAAAAATGTGGCAGATACTTAAGTATTTTTTAAAATTATATTTAACATTTCACAGGAGAAATGAATTCATGGGTCTCTTCATACCAGGAAAACAACAAAAACTCAACTGAACCCAATAAAAATTAGTGACTTCACAGTATTTCTTAATAACATTAATCTTGTTGGAAATGACTATTTGAATAAACTTGAATATCCTTTACCCAAGGATGCTTAATTTGTAGCAAGTTTGATTGAAATTGGTCCAGCTGTTGTGCAGAAGCAGCTGAAAATTTGAAATAGTGAACAGCTGACACCTGACAGACAGATGGACAACAGATACTCTTTGATCAAAAGAGCTTTATACTTGAGATTTTCACTTATGATATGGCTGTACCTTTTCAAATGAGGAAGGATGTCTAGAACATCGGGGGGCAGATTAAATATATTCACAACAGGATCATAGTTATCTATGTTTGACACTTTGTCTAAAGTTGCAGGTTTGCAGACCTCCAAAACTTTCATCCTCTCAATATTTGTTAATGATTCCATCTTCTTGTCAATTTCACAAAGGTCAACTGTAATTAAAATATATAACTATTAAGAATTATATCTATACATGTATGCATCATTGACAATAAGCCCAATACATATGTTTATTTATAACCTAACTAATGAACAATTAAATGTACATGTACCAATCCTGTTCTCTTAAATAGGTTATGAGGTCAAAAATAGCAATACAATCTGAAAGGTCATATCATAGAGGCTGGTTAAATACTAGGCTTGATTTTATTCTGTTTTAGCTCACCTGAGCTAATGCCTCAAGTGAGCTTCTTCTGATCAGAGGCAGTCTGGCTTCTGAGTGAAAGGGATTCAAGTTTGTTCAAATAAAGGGCCACATAGGGGAGATAATACAGAATTAGTAAAAATTTGATGGCATCTTATAAAAATCTTCTTCTTAAGAACCACTTTGCCAGAAAAGATGAAACATGTGAAAGTTTCATTAAATAGTGTAAATTCAAATTTGTTCAAATCAAGACCCTCGGGGCTAAGGTTGGGCCACAACAGGGGATTAAGTTTTACATAGGAATATCTTGGAAGAATCTTCAAAGATTTTTCTTCTCAGGAACAACTAAGCCGTGATTAGTCAATTAATATATAAGCATCCTTTGGAAGTGTTGATTCAAATTTGTTCAAATCAGGACCCCTAGGGGTAGGGTGGGACCAGGGGATCAAAGTTATATGTAGGAAGATATAGCCTAAGGAAATATCTTTTAAAATCTTTTCATCAAGAACAGCAAAAGTATGATTATTAATATAAAAGCATCCTCAGATAGGGGGTAGGGTGGGGCCACAAACAGGTCAAAGTTATACATAGTGTAGGAATATATAGGAAATATCTTTAGAAATCTTCTTCTTAGGAACAGCAAAGTCATGATTAGTCAAATTAATACAAAAGTATCTTTAGATAATGTAAATTCATGCCATTCAAATCTTGACCCCTTAGGGTAGGATGGGGCCACAACAGGGGATCAAAGTTATATATAGGAATGTATAGGAAATATTTTTAAAAATCTTCTTTTCAAGAAAAGCAAAGCCAGAATTAGTCAAATAAATACAGAAGCATCCTTTGATACTGCAGATACAATTTTGTTCAATTAATGAGTCCCAGGGATAGGGTAGGGCCACAATAGGTCAAACTTTAACATAGAAATATAAAGGAAAAAAAATCTTTAAAAATCTTCTAAAACCATGCTTAGTTAAAAAAAATATGGAAGCATCCTTAGATAGTGTGAGCCCCTTGGGGAGGGTTGGGACCACGTACATATTTAACTTTTCAAAAATGAACTGATGTCTGAGATTTTCTTTCGCTAAAGTGCTCAGGTGATCGATGTGGCCCATGGGCCTCTTGTTGAATATAAAGTGATCAAGCATAGCATGTAACCTATAGTCAAAGATAATGCTCAAAGTCTTGTGAAAAAAAACAAACTATGTAAACCATGTCTCTTTTGGGGCAAAAGTTCCACTCTCAGATGGACAAATGAATGAGATTTAATGTCTCCTTGCTCCCTGGCTTTCACGAAACCAGAGGACAAAAAAAAAAAAAAAAATTACAGGTAGGCACATGACTGTATTACATGTACATCATTACATTTATATAAGTATTTTATTACCTTTAAAATGTTGACACTGTTGTACAAAGATGCCAACATTTGCTTGAACTTCCTTGACCTTTTGTATTTCTCTGCATCTCAGTTTTATTGTCTGTAAAACTAATTCTTCCTCCAAATCAGTGTTCTTTTCACTCTTCCAAATAATGTTGTTTAAGCAATAGAATGCATCCTTCCAGTTGTCAATCAGTAAAACGTCCCCAATTTCTATCTCTCCAGTCAACAATTTATTCAGAGTGAGCTGAAGTACTGAGGTTGCCTGCGTGAACTGCACTTGACATTCTTGAGATAGAACTCCGCTTTTTTCTTTCTGATCTGTATGAAAAAGCAATTAAACTTAAAGGCTTTGTGTGACTTTTTGTGTGAATTTTGCTTCTTGACAATTTTTAAAAAGTAGATCATTCGCAACTTCACAGACTCTTTAAGTAGGTCATCAGATTTAAGGTTCACATTTATAGTCTGAGATTTTTAGAAATATTTCAAGCTTAACAAGGCCAACTTTAAAATAATGTTTGCTTGCCCTCTGCTGACTCAGGATGAAAGAATTCAGTCGGTAGGTAGGTGGGAAAAATTTTTTTCAAAGAAAATTTCAAAATCAATGCTGAATTTTCAAAATCTATTTTCTGGAATGCATAAAAAAATAATTGCTTCCTGGAGGTTAAAAAAAGTTTTGAGTCGGGCCATTTTTAGCCAGTCGGTCGGGAGTCTGACAGAGGGTAACCAAACATTTTTTTAAAGATGGCCCAATATAGAAATTGCTGCAAAGTTTTTTTTTAATGTTTAATTTTGAATAAAACTACAATTATAAAAATTCCCTTTAAAAAATATTTCACTATAACCATTTTTTTTTTTTGCATGCAGTTTTTGAAGTCGAAGACATTTAACAAACACCCACGTATCACATGCAAAAATATCTTGATAATTGGAATTTCTATTCAAGGGGGATACTTACATTTTATTTTTTATAATTTTTACTTATGACTTACGTACACAATCTGTTGATGTAATTTACCTGTTGTGGTTACAGCAATAGAAAATTAGATAATTCATACATGTTAACCTACTGTGATGAAAAAGAGGGAGATTCAGACCTCAAAAGAGGTATAGTAGCATCATGCGCGATGTTTTATGCTTCGATTTTGAGATGTAAAAATTGCCTTTTATGACCACTACAATGATAAAAACTAATATCAACTGTGATGAAGTAAACAAAAAACACCATTGACTTAAATTATATGAAGAAATATATTTCATGCTCATCATAATAGATGGCTGCTTAGCCTTTTGAAGAGAGATCTTTATTGCTATAGCCTGGAAGCAATAAATGCCATTGACCATTTTGTTCTCAAATCAAGCAAATGATGTCATATAAGACAATTTAGATCTAAAACTAGTTTTTATTTCGATCTTTAAACAAGATTTGTATTTTCCACAATCATTGCAATGTCTGAAAACAAAAGTAGAGTTGCAAAAATAATAACATGAATGCTTAGCCTTTTCATCTTTTTTAAACATTTTATGACTTAAGTCAAGTGTTTTCATCCAAATTCTAGAATACTAGCTATCTCTCCCTTTTTCTCGGGTGTTACTAAATTGCAGAAAAAAGAACAGAACATAAAATATGACAAGTATAATGCTGTTTTACGCTTCTAGAAACAACATACTTTTTATTAATTGTTCTACTAAATCAAAATTTTATTTCATGGCAATTTCCTTATTTTCGACTTACAAACCATGTCCAGAAAATGTTTAAAAGGCTTCCATGTCAGCGTGAAATTAAGAATGTCCCTTGGCTGGGCTTTACAGAGATGATTTTTTCCCCAAGATTCCTCAAACTTCCTAGATAACATGCTTCCTAATTTGAGAGCTCCTCTTCCATAGCGTACATTTTCTTCACAGATACAACCTTCGTCTAAGGCCTGTATCAATGAAAAGCAAATGAAGTTCAGTACTTATATTCAAACATAACTTAATTCAAAAAGAAGGAACTTTTAAAATTGCTACATATGTCTCCTACAGTCTTTTATACATATCTATAATCTTGGGCTATACCTTTTTTGAAAATGATCTCCATAGAAAAGAAAATCAATCAGTTTTGAAAAAGACATTGATATTCATTTTATCCTCATATGAATCCTAATTATCCTGATCTATAAGGCACCTAAAGAACTGATGGTCAGAGAGTGTTCTCTAGAAGGTTGTCATAGGAAATAATGTCTTGTAAGTTTACATAAAAATTTTTAAATATCATTGAATTCATAGAAGGAAATAAATTAAGGTACCACCAGAATGTCAGATTCCCTATAAAAGTAAATTGATTTTACAGTACTAGTGAATCTGTAGTTTACACTGTACTTATAAGGGTAGTACATTTTCAAGAGAAGTCTGTGTATATTGAAATATGAAAACACAACAGTCCAATATTTCATTGATGGGAACAACATAATATTTTTGGGAATTAGTAAAAATAGGAAGTGTTATAACTTTTTCAGTATAATTTTATCTTGGAAACAATTTGTAAAGGTACAACAATGCTTTTTAGTGGAATTTACTTTAAACCACTACACATGAAATAGGTGCATAAATTTAGTGTTAAAATCACAAGTCATATCATTTGAACAAATAAATACTATATATCTCTAATGTAGATGCAAAGATCATGGAAACAAAAAAACATTTGAAAAGCTCAAACTATTACCTAGCCAGTAAGACAATACCTGATTTACAAATTGTCCAAGTATTTCTTGCACAGCAGGTGGGTACAGCTGATCAGCATCATTGAAGTATAGAGTAATTAGATGCTCCTTGACAAGTTTTGTCTTCAATGTAAAACAAGAGGCCCATGGGCCACATCGCTCACCTGAGTAACTTTGGCCATGCTGTTCTTTACCAGATTTCCCCCCTTTTAATATACCTATTGTGGCCCCGCCCTACCCCAGGGGAACAAAATTTGAACAATTTAGAATCTACACTACCTCTGGATGCTTCCAAATATGTCTCAGCTTTATTGGTCCAGTGGTTCTTGAAAAGAAGATTTTTAAAGATTTTTCTTATATATTTCAATGTAAAACTTGGATTCCCTATTGTGTCCCGCCCTACCCCCGGGGGTCAAGATTTGAATAATTTAGAATCTACACTACCCCAGGATGCTTCCTTATAAGTTTCAGCTTTTCTGGCCCAGTGGTTCTTGAGAAGGCCCAGTGGTTCTTGAGAAGAAGATTTTTAAAGATTTTTCTTCTGTATATCAATGTAAAACTTGAATTCCCTATTATGGCCCCGCCCTACCCCCGGGGGTCATGATTTAAACAATTTAGAATCTACACTACCTCAGGATGCTTCCATATAAGTTTCAGCTTTTCTGGCCCAGTGGTTTTTGAGAAGAAGATTTTTTAAGATTTTTCCTATATATTTCAATATCAAACTTGGATTCCCTATTGTGGCCCCGCCCTACCCCCGGGGGTCATGATTTGAACAATTTAGAATCTACACTACCCCAGAATGCTTCCATATAAGTTTCAGTATTTCTGGCCCAGTGGTTCTTGAGAAGAAGATTTTTTAAGATTTTCCTATATATTTCAATGTCAAACTTGGATTCCCTATTGTGGCCCCGCCCTACCCCCAGGGGTCATGATTTGAACAATTTAGATTCTACACTACCTCAGGATGCTTCCATTTAAGTTTCAGCTTTTCTGGCCCAGTGGTTCTTGAGAAGAAGATTTTTTAAGATTTTTCCTATATATTTCAATGTCAAACTTGGATTCCCTATTGTGGCCCCGCCCTTCCCCCAGGGGTCATGATTTGAACAATTTAGAATCTACACTACCCCAGGATGCTTCCATATAAGTTTCAGTATTTCTGGCCCAGTGGTTCTTGAGAAGAAGATTTTTTAAGATTTTTCCTATATATTTCAATGTCAAACTTGGATTCCCTATTGTGGCCCCGCCCTTCCCCCGGGGGTCATGATTTGAACAATTTAGAATCTACACTACCCCAGGATGCTTCCATATAAGTTTCAGCTTTTCTGGCCCAGTGGTTCTTGAGAAGAAGATTTTTTAAGATTTTTCTTATGTATTTCAATGTCAAACTTGGATTCCCTATTGTGGCCCCGCCCTACCCCCGGGGGTCATGATTTTAACAATTTAAAATTTACACTACCCCAGGATGTTTCCACATAAGTTTCAGCTTTTCTGGCCCAGTGGTTCTTGAGAAGAAGATTTTTTAATGACCCCACCCTATTTTTGTCTTTTCTTGATTATCTCCCCTTGTAAGGGGACTTGGCCCTTTATTTTAACAATTTACACTCCCCTTCACCAAAGGATACTTTGTACCAAGTTTGGTTAAAATTGGCCCAGTGGTTCTTGAGAAGAAGTTGAAAATGTGAAAAGTTTACAGACGGACGGACAGACGGACGGACGGACGGACGACGGACAACGGGTGATCAGAAAAGCTCACTTGAGCTTTCAGCTCAGGTGAGCTAAAAAAGCGAACAATTACACTTTCAATAACAATACTTGCAACCAAACACCTGAAAGCACTGTACTCATAATTCTAGTAGTAGGAAGGCTTCAATTTCATCTATGTTTTCTGTTTTTCTGATAAACAGAGGTTATAAAAAGACTTATAAAGCAATTATAATGTAATATGATTACATCTTAGACATCAAAAAAGATCTTGAGATACATTCAACATTTTAGTCAATTAAGGTATGTCACTCATGATATGTTTTACCGAGGATTTTTTGAGAGATATATTTTAGATAACTACACACATAGCATGACTCAAAATTGCAAAAAAATGTGGGGGGGGGGGGGGGGTCAATGTGCATTTTTCTGAGTAAGGGTACAATAAACTTGACCTTTTTGCACTTAAATTGTAACTTTTAGGTTAATACATGTAACTTTAACCTTTATAATATTTTACTAAATGTAATCATGTAAATAAATATAGTCCTTTTTTTTTAATGTAAAATAGTTTGAATATTTATTATTGAAAAAATCATGCAAATTAATGAATGTAAAGTATTGTGTGACCTTTTCGCACTAAAAAATATCATTTTTGGGATATTAAAGATCTAGATAGGCAATAAAATATTTTCTTGTATCAGGCTTTTTATGACTTAAGTGCAGATCTGTTGAATGTATTGTGTAATTTAAAATAATGAAAGAAAAAGTTGGGATTATGCAGTGATGTAAATTTTCAGATAATTGGTCAAAATGTGTGATTTTCAGGCAAAAAACTATGTAAATTTTATCTTAACTTCTTAAATATATTTTCATTTTTTGGCAAAGTCTGCTGAGTGAATGTGTAAAATTTGTTTTAAATTTAAAATACTATTGGTACTTGAGACCTATATTTACAGACCCTAAAACATGCTCTTACCCCACATGCACGCTGCACGAACAGTATATGCTCGCTACATGATCTGCACGAAACGCTGCACGGTATACACGAAACGCTACACGCTTTGCATGAAACGAAAAGTGCACAAATTTCACACACTTTTTTGGGGCTGTAGCATGTTTCAGGGTCTGTAATATTCCTAGCATATAATAACGAAAAATTCTCCTAGTATAAATATGTAGGGCTAAAGTTCCAAGATATTAAATCAAAGAAATGTGTAGATTTGAAGAATTTTCTTCTAAATATCCTTCCACCAAAAGAAATAATAGTCCCCTATAAATCTTGTTTCTTTACAATTTTGTGAGCAGTTTTTAAATTGAATATTGTATAATTTGCATTGTTAAATTCAAAAATGTCAAAAAAATTGAATTGTATAAATAAATAGTTTTGATGTTAGAGGTTCTGACTAAACTTCTCTCAAAAGCTGACCAAGTGACATCTACCTTAAGCTTGATTTCAATATTCTCTGTATTAGGTTCAGCTCACCCCCACCCCCAACCTTACACAAGATTTTCATACTTTTCATTTTATTTTTTCAACCTAGGGTAATGACTGTGACAAATACAAGGAAAAAAACTTTTAAGTCAATGCATCCAATACTTAATTTCTAGAAGAAAAAAAAACTACTCTGAAAATTTCTCTTCTGTTTTTACATCTTTGTCCCATTTAGGGATTGCAATCGCAGACAAAATGATGCACAAAAAATTCTCAAAACAGTGAAATTTTTCTAATCAGGATGTTGTGGAATCTGAAATCTCATCTATTACAACGAAAACTTCATTCCTCTGGGTAAAATCAATTGTTTAAAATATTGTCTTATCCCAAATGTTGTCTAATTGGGCAAATTTCTAGGGAACCAGTGATGCCCGGATTAGACAAGTTTTACTGACTGTATTGTCTTATTTTTATTGCTTCTTAATCAGTAGTTTCAAATGTTCAGAATTACGTATAAACACTATAATCTGAAAAGATAACAGAGGACATTTCAAACAAATAAATCTAGAGAAAGCAATAGCTCAGCTGAATGACTCAAATTAGGTAAAACATAGACAATTTAAATTACAATTTATTTTAAATTTTGAAGACTGCCAAATTTGAATTAAGCCTTTTGCACATTCAGTTAGCAAAACAATTAAATTTACTTTTAATTACTGTACCTTTTTATCTAGCTTTTCTTGTAGGGTGTCTTTTAATTCACTCATCAAGGCATCTTTAATGGAACTATTGGGAATGTTCATCGACAGAATCTTGCTCCATACCTTTAACAGTTGGTTTGGTTTTAACATATTTTATTGTAGTTTCTAATTACAAAGGGATTGGACACAAGTTCTAAAAACTTATTATGCCCTCTCCCTTCATTTCAGTTTTAATATAACAGTTAAAACTGAAGATAAACAAAACATTGCTTTCCCCCTTCTTATTCCAAATAGTGCCCTCATGTTTTTCACATTATATTAAAACATTGTCAAATATTTACATTTCCTGTTGTTTTTTTTTTACTAAGCCAACTATGAAGTTGATTTTAATGCCATTTTTGTGTAAATATACATGGAGAAATGCAATAACTATGCATGAATAGAATATGTTTTGTAATCAAATATTCATACTGTAAATTAAACAATATTTTCACAATCAATTTGGCTGAAGAACACGATAGCATGTATTATGATGTCACAATGATGCGACAGAAATATAAAAAAAAAAAAAACATAACGATATAGGGCAGCAAAAAAATTCAAATATTGCATGTATTTTTGTTGGTTTTAAAGCTTTAAAATGTAAATATAAGAAATGTTTTTCAGTGTGTGAATGTTAATGGTGTGCAAATCACACAGACTTGCAATTAGGCATATTTTTCTTGAAGCACTAGTGAGCATCATGAAATATGCACCTGACTTGTCAGAATCAAGTAGGCTAAATGATAATTCGAGCTCAAATAACCTGCATAAGAATTACTGTAGAAACACAAATTTTGGTGGGGACAAAATTTCATTCTTTTGTCATCTAAAAAAGGTTTCGTGGGCATAAAATTTCATTGTTTCGAAAGTCACCCTATTCAATATATAGTCATATAAAAATTTCATGTGGAATTTAATTTCGCTGATAATGGTTTACAACGAAATTTAATCCCCAATGAATATTTCTGCTTTTACAGTAACAGCAAAGTAAACTTTAGTGTATTCAATGTGGATTAAATATATTTAATTTCATGTAAGATGAGTTAGTTCTGGTTAAAGAACTAAGTACGTTACGTATTATTCGAAGGCCAACAATTTTTTGTATTTTGATATACAAGTTTGTAAAAATATAACTACTATGTACATGTAGAAGAAGATTGGTAGTTTTCATATCTGCATAACAAAATTTCGCAAGTACGTTGATTAGAGGTATTCACATGATTTAAACATCCGTTATTTCCGGAAATTGCTATTTTTTCCACTATTTTTACAACAAATTCCCAAAATTGAAGTAGTGCACACTCCTCGAGCAAAATAAAACATATATATTTGAAAATAATTTGATAAAAGACAAGCAAAAATAATGGTAAGAATTTGCTCGAGGAATGTGCAGTATGTTAATTTTGACATTTCATGACTATTTCCGGTGGCGGATACCGAGTTAGTCGAGGGGCGATTTCTTATCTAGGAGTTACAATAATGATGTATTTCGTGTAATAATGTTAAAAAATAAATTTATCATTGATTGACTATATTTATATTGCTCATACAAATATATTTTTCATGAAAATAGCATAAAAGCTAAAAAAAATGTTTATAGAAATGACAAATTGCAATATTGTTTTATACAAATAAGCCTTACACTTGATAAATGCTGCCAGGAAGAAGGGAAGAGATCAATTTTAATAATATACTTAATAAAAATGTTCAGCTAACAAATGAAATTACTAAAAGTATTACTGCAGAAAAAATGCTTAAATCCTAGCCTTTATTTTATTTTGCTACTTAAACGGCCTAGTTGACGTCTGCATGTATGTATATGAATTACGCAATAAACTCAAAGATGACGTCACAATAGGTCCCCTTGCAACACGAACATTTTTTGGGAAGGGGGGGGGGATAAATTCCCAATCTTTTGGATGCCGTTTGTCAGGACTGATCAGATTAATTAATATTCTGAAGTCTTGTATTTTCAGTCATTTATACAAGTGCACGGTTGATGTTTCAATATATTTTCAGATTTTATAATTCCACGCACAATATAAGCGTGTTGCATCTGCAAAAGTTCATATTGTAGACATTTGCCTGCCGTTTATATTATGCATATAAAAACAAAGGCTCATATTTCACCTAGTAAAATTTATTTTTTTCCCGTATATTCTACTTAAGATCATTCCACATATACCAGATTTGTAATTTCTTATCTGTCGAGGATCCAGTGACGTTAAAAGAAGACTGGAATGAGAAAGCGACAGAAGGTCCAAAAAAGAATTTCTGCAAAAAAAAAAAAATTAATGAAAAAGCTGTATCAGACGAGGGGTTCACTTTTCAACAAGGTTACCTGTCACTAAATTATTTTACACCATTACGGCGGTGTATGTGCATCACACAATTTAATATAAGTACTGTGGAACAAAATTATCTGTCAGTGTGAACAAGTCTGAAAACAAGTAATTTATCAGGCACGAAGAATCAGGGGAGCAGGACCCCTTCCCACTTTTTTCCAAACTTTGAAAATGTTCATTCCAAGGCTACCCCTCCCCCCCCCTCCCCCTCTTTTTGCTGTAGCATAGGTAAAGTTAAGGAATTTAGTGTACTGGGGGAAAATTGGTTGTGAAAAAATAATTGTGAAAAAAAGTTTGAACTTTCCGTGACACGGGCCCTCAGTTTTTAAGGTCTCATCCGAAAGACCCGAAACTTTCACTTCAAAGTGGGTCGCCCGCGTGGCGCAGTGGTCAGAGCGTTTGCTCTAGAGTGGCGGAGGAATGAGTTGATCCTTACATCTGAGATTTGAATCCCACTGCTGGACGTGGAGATCAGTCCTTCGGATGAGACCGTATAAACCGAGGTCCCATGTCGCAGTAGGTGCTGGCACAAAAAAGATCCCTCACTGCTCAATGGCCCTAAGTGCAGAGTATAGCTCAAAATTTTCAGCTCTACACCGGCAAGTGGTGGCGTCTCCATATGAGTGCTACCTATATTTTATCGACTTAGGTCCACAGGCACTTGTTTCGTATACAGGGCACCCCTACTTATAAGTAGGGTGCCCTGTACATGAAACAAGTGCCTTTGCTTAGGTCGGTCGCGGTCGTGATTTGAACACACGACCTTCCGATCACGGAGCGAGCGCTCTACCTGAAATGGATTGAAAAGCAGGCATAAAGGCCTAGGATCTTTCTTCCCATAGGTTTGGTATCGAAGGCTTACAATACTTAATAAAAGATAGGCTCTCATATTGATCAAAACTTTAAGCAACAAAATCGAAACTTCAAGCAACAAAGTCGAAACTTCAAGCAACAGTATTTATCTATAATTATATGTAGTATTAATTTTAAAAAAGATCGTAAATGTGTTCTTCAAAGAAAGTAAATGTTTATGCATGTTTATTTTAATTCATTTTATTTATTTATTTATTTTTAAGCTATACTAAGTTGGTGAAAAAAGCCTCAATAAATTGCTAAAGAAAATGCGATAGAAAATTACCTATGCCAGCTATCCAAGAGAAGTGCTGCATCTCTACCAGCTTGTAAAGGGGTGGGGGTGGGGGGTGGGATGAAATTTGATTCGTGCATTTGAGAAGGACCATCCAGTGACATATAAAATTATTAATCGAATGACAGTACTTTTTTCAGTTTTTTTTTTTTAAACTTTCTCAGATGACAAGACAGAAACGTTTTAAACACATTTTGTTTAGATGAATTCGTGAATGAGACTGCGACTCGTTGGAAAAAGATGGGCTGGGGAGTTTGCCCTTTCAATGTTATCTATTAATTAAAATTTTAAATACTTTTCGAAAATATCTTTAATGCTTTCTCATAAAATTTCATAGGGAATCTGACATTCTATAAAGTAGTGTTAAAAGTTTTAATGCAATCTTAAAATCAAACCAAGTAATTCGCATAAAAAATATTGTCTAGCTTTTAAAAATCAAAATTTTGCTTGAATTAGAATAATCAGATACTTATAATAAACGTACTATTAAATATATGCGTTACGCATCTCTCTCTCTCTCTCTTGTTTTAAAATCATATAAATTAATCTTTCATTTGAACGTATATTGTCGGACCCAAAAACCAAACTGTTTGTCTGAGGCCGTTATTTAATCCATCGATGGGTCAACAAAACTCATTTTCCCATATATTAGTCAATAAATGTTTTGTTATACCTTTGTATCTTGTGCTGGCTTTCATGATGTAAATTAACTTAAACCACACTGTGTTTAAACTTGGTCAATTTCGTCACTGTCGAACACCAACGAATGCAAATGAGATTTAGCTGATCCCGCCCACAATTTTGACGTGAGCGGTCTAGTTTCTCATCGACGGGTCAAATATCTTACTCCGCAGCCAAACATCGATTTTTTTTATGACCATTCAGTACAACATTGGAAAGGTGTATAGATGTATATAGAAACCAGTTTCTAAGGTTTTACAAAATTTTGTGTTGTACTCTGAAAATCTTCAGAATAAACTCTGAAAATATCTCAAAAGCGATTTGTGCATATGTGTATAAATGATAGAGGCTGTATTCGAATGATTAAAACTCTGTATCAGACAAGGGCGTTCCGTGAGAAAATGAATTTTCTGTAAAAATCTTAACAGAAACTTTGAGTTGGTAAGGTCAGGGAAAGAGAAAGGCGCTTCATGGTAGCTGATCTTGTAAATGCACAGTTACGCGGTAAAATAATAATAATAAAAAACATGGACAAACAAAATTATGCTACTGGTACGATTGTTAGCAAAATAAATTAAAATTGATAGAGAAACGTTTTTAATAAGTGGCTATTGGGCCAAACTCTGTGAAATGTAAAGGGAGAATTTTTTTTAAAAACACCATAACGCAATGTTTTTTGACGTTATAATGCATCTCCGGGGTTACCAAAACATGTAAATTTTAAAATTAAGTAAATTGATTTTTGTTAAGTCGAATGGAATGGAACTTCACACATCAACAAAATAAATATTTGATATAAAAATGTGTTCTTTTTTAATATTTCTTGAAAGTAATATAACGTACTTTCCAACAACCCTCGTATTTGCGTAACGTCGCTAGGTTGACGTCATAACGTCATAGTGTTATTTTCCAAAGAAACTCTCTATATTCAGATAGCTTTGTAGGAAAATTGATTTGAGATAATTACAAAAATTAAGCTGAATTTAAAAGAGGACATCTTAGACATGTTCCAAAAAAATCTTCATCAGATTTGGGGACAGGGCCGATTTTGGTCCATAACGTACTTTCTTCTTTGATTATCAACAACCCAGTATGAATCGGCCCTAAAACTTATTTCTCTATCACTTCTTTTAATCATTTTATTTTAACTTACTTCAAGATCTGCTTCAACAGATGGATAGAATATAAATCTGTTCAACCAGTCATTGATCAATCCTTTTTTTTCATTAAGTGTTACAAGATGTAGTCTCTCACTTTCCATAGAATTCCCCTCTTTACTGGTTCTTTCGATTAGCTGTTCATAGACTGCTAGGGCAACTACAAAAGCCTCAGTTGCCCATAAAACAATACTGGTCCTGTCTCTGTGATGAGAATTTGCCATACTTAAAACATCTGCTCCAATTTTAATGCACAGGTATGCTCTTGTTAGCTGATCCTGGGAACTAAAAAGATTTCATTTAATTAAGTTTAAGTTGTTTGCCACAAGCTGAATATATAGATAGTGATGTTTGACACTCAACAATGAAAACGACTTACCTTATAAAGTCACAATCATTTACTTAAAAAAAAACTTGCTCTGCACTCATCCAGAGAATCTAGGTCATATAAGTAGCAGCATCCATGGTAGCAAGTCTTATAGCATGCATAAGATCCCAAAATGCATTATACATGCAGGCAAGTATGATCTACTGTAGACATGGACATTGTACTTACTTGAAAATGGATCTGCTTCAAAAACTTTAATTTACCTGGTAATTCACCTAGAAAATATACTAGGTCAAATACAACATCAGATGCAAATCTGGTAGTGTACAGGATGCATTAGCCATGCAAGCTTGGCCAAGGTATGACATTAGTTACTTGAAAGTGGAAATGCTCTATTACTTAACACTGAGAGGTAACCAAAAATTTTAATGAATTATTTTTATGCATGGCATGGACTTGTGAAGCAACTTTTTTTGTACAACTTTCATAAGTTATTCAACATGAATAAACTTGTGATAGAAAATATGACACAAGTATTAAATTATAAGCAAACACAACCCATGCAGATCCTTCTGTGGAAATGTCCTATAATGGGCAATTAAAATAAACTTACATATTTTCAAGCTCACAACTTTTTCGCATTTGCTCAGCAGCAACTTCAAGACAGTCATAAGCTATCTGTAAAACAAACACAATATTAATTTTTCTTTTTCATTAAGATCTCATCCAATGATAATCTGGCAACAAAGACATGGTACTATTTCCCTCTCCAAAATCATTAAATTTATACATATATAAGTGGATCAGTTCAAATTTCTTGACTGTACATGTATTTAGAGTATCATTTAGGTTTTTTGAATTTTTTTTTTTGAAAACATTTTTTCATGTTGTTAAATTCAATTTATGAAATTTTTCAATGGTGAAATACGGTAACTTTTCCACTGAATAAAAGCATTATATTTGAAAGTGATACTTTTCCAGTGAAAAATATCAAATGCTACAGAAATAGCATTTGGAAAGAATTTCACAGAAATTTATATCAAATTGATGGCAGCTTATTCATCAAAATCAAATAAACTGTATTATGTTTTAATTTGGTGACTCTATACTTGTATACCAAGTTTTATATAAATTGTTCTGAAACTACAGAATTCAATATTTCAATTTTGGTAACCATGACAACATCCTTTTTTTTTTAAATTGTTCAATCCTAGAAAAAATTCAGATGAATATAGTTACATACCTTTTTCTTTGTGTCATTTTCAAAGTAGTCTGTACGTAAAAAGAAATACAGTGCAGCCATTACAACTTCTGGAGGCAGCAGCTTGGTTTTGACAACAGTTAGTTTTTCCAACTTTAGCACAGACACAAAGGATCTTGACAAGTAAAAGTCTATTTCAAACATCGGTGCTAAGGTTTGAAGAATAATCTCAGGGTCTCTGTAATAAAAATAAAGATACTATTAAATATGCCTATCACAGCATTTCAAATTCAATTTGACTGATAGCCTAGGATATAGCAATCTCTTTTCTTGCAAGAATCCTTAAAAACTTAACAAAAGTGGTGTTCAAAGTGTATCCACTATTAATTAATTGTTGTTTTGCATTTAAAAGTGCTCACACAACACTTTGGTTAAGGAGTTGAGGCCATTAAACTTGGGAAAATTATACATGCATGTCATTGAACAAGTTTTGGGAGAAATTGGGGAATCCAACAAATAAAAAAAAGTTTTTAAAAAACTGTTCATCACCATTTGATTTTCTGGTGTTTTATAATCAACTTTTTCATAGAAAATGACAATTGAAGAAAGTAACAATTTCTACTCTGGCATTGGGAATAAGGAAATCAATGGAGCCAATTACAAACCATTGAGAGCCCTGTTTAAAGTCCTCCAAATTTATTTCAATAAGTGCCACTGATTGAATAGTAAAGAAAATCATAAAAGAAAAAAAAATAAATAAAAATGATACTTAAAATATCTGGGGTGTTTCCTCTAAAATCAAAGAAGAGGAGGGGTATCTGATCTACATGATAAACAGAAAACATTACAGAACTTCATAAATGATCATCATAATAAAGGCAAAACCTGATAAACTGAAAAAATGATAAAAGATGCATACAAGTTAATCAGAAATATAACAAGAGGCCCATGGGCCACATCACTCACCTGAGAACTATGGCTAGGAAAATAGCAAAAATCAGTTCAGTATTGAAAAGCTTAATGCATAAGTGCTCCCGACCTACCCCTAAAAGGGGGGGGGGGGGGTGTTATGATTTGAACAAAACTGAATTTACACTAACTAAGGATGCAGGCTTACACATTTCTTTGACTAACTGTGGCTTTTTGTCCCCTACAATTTTGAACTTTCATTATGGTCCCATCCTACCCCTGGGGGTCATGATTTGAACAAATCTGAATCGATCTACACTATCTGTGGATGCATGCTTCCATATAAATATGACCAATCACATCTTTGCTATTCTTGAGAAGAGAATTTAAAAAAAAAAATTCCTATGTATTCCTATGTATTGCTTTGATCATCAATTGTAAACACACCCTATACCCAGGGGGTCATGATTTGAATAAATAAGAATCTCTACCTCAAAATACTTTCAAATAGTTCAGTCGACTGAATGGTAACTGAAAGATCACCGAAAAGTCACGGGGAAGGATCTTTTCAGTGACCTTTGGCTCAGGTGAGCTAAAAATTTTCACACAAGTTATGATATGATAAATCAATATGATATCATGAGATATTGTAAACGTATGGGTTTAAGATGGGATATTTCATTTAAACATTTCAAACTTCCTTGAAATTTTTTCTCATTGCGTATCATTATCATATTTAAATAGTGATTATTGCACTCTGTTATCTACTAAACGACCAGGACACTTTGCATTGCATGAATTTGAAAAGTAACACTAAGAACATGAAAAATATATGTAATTTTCATACTGGTTTTATAATTACCATTTTATAAACAAAATATAAATACATACACACTCCACTTGGTTTTTCCTTTCAAGTAATCCATTTCTATTTCCAAGCCATCTTTTCCCCACCAGAGGGGCTTCACTGCATTATGATCCACTCTCTTGGTCATGGCTTCAAAAGGACGACATTTCCCAATCAAAAAGTGGTAAAGAGGAAGACTACACAGCCATGTAGGATCGTCTGAAGATTTCACACTTTTGATGAACTCTAACAATCCTTTTTTAACCCTCCTGGATAAAAATAAATAGTTTTGTTATTTCAATACAAGTTGTATTGATCAAGTGTAATTTCTTTTAAAAATCTTTTTCAGTCTGAGATAAAAATAACTATTAGGCTACATAAATTTAATTCTCTGGTTCTCAGGTCAATTTTCTCCAAAACAGATGTGGCAGGGAGGTTTTTTATTTATCATTTTATTGGCGATAAAGTAGATGAGGGAGGTATTTTTTAATACCAGAATTTTCTATAAAATAATGTTAAAAATTCTCTGTTCCTTATAGATATACTTTCCATGTCTGATCAATAGGTTTCCATTATCCATTTCTTATCAATGTGTTAACATTGTAAGCATTATCTTTGAATGTATTTTTAAACGAAATAGCCAAGACTCTTTGAAAATGGCTACCGGAAGTGATATTCGTGTACTAAACTACGAGAAAATGAGGGCAGAACTTTTTTTCCAGATTGGTCTCCGTATTACCTACTTTTTATTTTATCAAAAATACGATAAAATTTGGAATGCGGCTACCTCAAAACAGATGCGCGCAAGGCCTGAAAACCGTAATTCCAATTTTATATGGCCTTAATATAATTGCCCATTAATGTGCACATGTCCCTAAAGCATATGTTAGATAAATATAACCATGCAAACAAAAAAAATTTCAATTTAATACAATATATTCCATCTAATTCTAATCCCTAATTCATGCTTTGTAAACTGAGGAGGAATAGAATGTAGCTGTCTCTACATGCCTTCCCCATTTCAAGTAAGGAGCAATTAAAAATAAAATTTAAACTTTAAAATGATAACAAATAGTGTTGATACTAATTTAAAATAATTATTCATCAAGATCTCCACCTTATTTTTATGGATTTGATACACAGCTCTAGAGACTCAGAATAAGGAGCTGATCCATACATTGTGGGTTCAAATCCACTGGGGGATTTGAAGATTAGTCCTTCAGACGAGACCGTATAAACCGATGTCCCATGTTGCAGTAAGTGCTGGCATGAAAAGATCCCTCACTGCTCAATGGCCTTGAGTGCCAAGTATAGGTATAAATTTGCAGCCCTCCACCGGCAAGTGGTGGAGTTTCCATATATTAAGTGAAAAATTCTTAAGAGGGACGTTAAACAACAAACAAAAATGAATGGCCTGAGTGACTCAGGTGACATAAAAAAGTTACTCAAACTCTAAGGTCAAATATGTTCGTACCCAAAGAAAAGTACTGCCACAAAAAATATACATGTGAAATATGAAAGCCATTCAAATATTTATGGCAGATTGTCTAAGATTAAAATTTTTGCAGACAGAAAAACTAACAGACCCAAAAATTTATGCAAGAAATTCTTTTACTATAAATACCAAAAAAACCTCTCATGATTATCTATTACAGTATTAAAAGCATTATGTTGTCCTAAATGCAATTTCAAAAACTTACGGAATAACTCCCTGGAAACTTTCCTTAAATTTGTCATACATTGGACATTTCATTTCCTCAAAATCTGCTTCAAGAACCAGACTTTGAAACAAGGCATTCTTGTTTTTTGCATCAAGTGGCAGCAAGTATTCTTCCGCAATCACAATGATACCAATGGCAGAAATCAGATCAGGCTTTTTTTCCAGTTCATCTAATTTGGGTTTCAGATCTTCTATCCACACCTTCAGAAAGAATTAGAATTCAGAGATTAGGGGATAAAAAAAAAAAATATTGCCATTTACATATATTTTACAATTATTAATCAAAATCTCTTAATCCTTAAAAAATTAGTCTTAATGTTCATGATCTCTGTCTAGTGCATGACAAGTTTAATCACTGCATGGTACAAGTTGTATAAATGAACCTGCAGTCACTGATAGGATGCATGCATAATTAAGACACTAAAGAATAATTCAATTCTGGTTTAAAATGTCATTTGAATGGGTAGAAAAATTTGTTTAAATTGTATAACCTGTGTTGACTATATCATAATGATTTACATCAAAAACGCATTTATCTACTTGAGGTCATATTTAAATTTGTACAATTTGAAGGCATTTTCATAAGGAAACAAGATGTGTTTGTGAAACACTGATGCCCCCATATGACAGTTCATTGCAAAGTTTAAAGTTTCTCAAATGCAAGTCAAACTACAATGTCAAGAGGTCAAAAATGTTAACCCAAAGTAAGGACTTGTCACAAGGAATACACATGTATATGAAATATGACAGTCCTTGCAGGCACCAACTATTCAGAAATTTTGGTCAAGGCTAAAGTCTTCTAATGTAGGTCAAACTCCAAGGTCAAGGTCAAAAATGTTGGAAGCCAAGGGAAGGCCTAATGTCAAATGGAACGCACAATTGAAATATGAAAGCCCTTCCACTAATCATTCAAAAGATTAAGGCCAAGGTTAAAGTTTTTCAAAAGTAGATCAAACTCCAAGGTCAAGGTCAAAAGACAAACAAAGTTGATACCCATGGGAAGGTCTTGTCATAAGGAATACACAATATGAAAACCCTAGCACCAGCTTTCAAAAGATATGGCCAAGGTTAAAGTTCCAGATTATAGGTCATGAGGTCAAAAATGTTGGTAATTAAGGGAAGGTCAAAAGGAAGATACATACGAAATATGAAAGCCTTACTTCCAACCATTCAAAGATATTGCCAGGTTGAAGTTCTTCAAAAGTGGTTCAAACTCCAAGTCAAGGTCAAAAATGTTGGTGGCAAAGGGAAGTTGTCAAAAGGAATACACAGAGTCATGCGAAACATGAAAGCCTTAAATTCAGCCAAACAAAAGTTATAAGCAAGGTTAAAGTTTTTGCAGACAGACAGCAAGATGGATACACAGACCAAAAACTATATGCCCCCAATTCTATAATAACTGGGGCATAAAAATCTTTTTAACACTTAGTGACATTTGATTTCATGTATGTGGAGTAAATTTAAAAACTACCCAAGCTATACTTGAATGTATAACCTGGGTTGGAAAAATTTACACTTTTTAATAAACCATGAAATTCATAAAACATAAACTGGCCAAACTCAGGCTATAAAGTTTATCTTGGGTAGCTATAAAATTCATTCTTTAAAGATAAAGGAGCCCTGTTGTTATTATTCAGTTTTCTCCTAAATCAGACACTGCTATTCTTCATATGAATAATTGCTTACTACTTCTGCACCAAAAATGGAGAAAAAAAGTCTCAATCACCTTTCCAAGAAAAGTTTTGAAGTCTTCTTCAAGTGTCCACTTCTTACAAGAAATGAAAACATTTTTATGTAGACCTGCATACAACATCTCCATCTGTCGTAACATGTCTGCTCCTGTAGTATCCCATCCATGTACAAAGAAATGTTTCCATTTTGGAAAGAAATACTTTGCAGAGAAAATTGCATCTTTTTCCATTTTCTTTTCATATGAATCATATCCAACCATTGACTTTAATTTTTGAAGGAATGCTTTCTCTGGCAAGGGATTCAGAATTCCATCATACTGCATCCATAAATCTGAAACATGTTTTCATTTTAAATAAACATTTCATTGAAAAATTTTCATTTTCATTTAGAATTAGTTTAAATTTATTTATTTTCCCTCAGATTGAAATGTCGCACTTTCATTGGTTTACACATGCAGTCTAAATTTCTATGTCAGGAAGGTGACAATTAATATCCGGCTATATGGCAGACACGTTGCTTTTACATTATGATACTCATTTATTACGGGAACCACTTTCCATAATATACTGAAAGGAAAAAGAAAAAAGGGTAAACTTTTGAGGTGAAATAATATTATTTTTCCCCGAAAATGCTCATTATCTTCAGTGTCTCCCTCGTGCATCTGTCACAGCCTCTATTCTCCTTTGCATGGAGCTCATCACTGTTTATCCTTCAAATAAGGATATTATTCAACCCTTTCAACAAGGCAGCCCTTAGTTGAAAGAGACCAGCTTGTGAATTTCAAACCCTATCATCCACTTAGTCCCACAGATGTTCAATGAGAAAAAGATGGACATTACAGAGACCAGTCGAGTTGGTAAATGATTGTTTGTGAGAAAGTCTTGTCAAAACCTGGCTACATTAAGAAGGGGGGAAACACACCGAAAACATTAGGCAAATGAGGCACGCATGCCCAAGTGAGAGGAACACCAACATGAAGTTGACCAGCTCAAAATCATAAAATCGCACATGTCAATCGGTTTCTTTCAGTTTTAGGGTGAATGTAATGATTATGTTAGCTTAGTGTATTAACAGCAGTTTGAGTGGTAGTAAGGTGAAAAACAATAGATCCCGAAGGTTCAACATATATTGATACAAAATGGACAGTTTATCACAAGAAGACCCAGAAGACAGTGTGTGTGTGTTTAAAACAGTTTAATTCTTGTATACTATTGGTAAATCTTAAATTGGAGAATATCGAAATGATAAACACTGATTTTTAGAACACGGGAGGGTAAGCATATCTGATTAAATGCAACCCCACCCCTAGGTATTTACATGGACATATTTGTACATAGCGGCTAACATGTGTGATACACATGTATCATTGGAGCCATCCACTTTATTCAAGGGACCGCAAGGAGATTACAAAGTTAATTGACAGGTCTTTATTAATTAATTTTTAAAATGAAACAATTATCTATACATTGGGGCTAAAAAAAATTTTTTTTGCCCCATATCGAAGATTCAGGGGTTATATAGTTTTTGCCCTGTCCGTCCATCTGTATGTCTGTCTGTCTGTTTGTCTGTTTGTCCAAAAAATTTAACATTGCTCATAATTTTTGATTGGTTGGACCTATGGCTTTCATATTTCACACGTGTATTCCTTGTGACAAGACCTTTCTTTGGGTACCATCAAATATGACCTTTTGCCCTTGACCTTGGAGTTTGACCCAGTTTTACAAAATTTTAACCAACTTTAACCTTGGCCATAACTTTTAAACTGTTGGTGCTAGGGCTTTCATACTTCACATGTATAATCCTTGTGACAAGACCTTCCTGCGGATACCAACAACTTTGACCTTGACCTTGAAGTTTGACCTACTTTTGGAAAACTTTTACATTGGCCATATAGTTTGAACAGTTGGTGGTAGGATTTACATTTTTCACATAAGTAATCCTTGTGACAAGACCTTCCTTTGAATACCAACAACTTTGACCCTTTGACCTTGGAGTTTGACCTATTTTTGAAAAAACTTTAACCTTGGCCATAACTTTTGAACAGTTGGTTCTAGGGCTTTCATTCTTCACATGTGTAATCCTTATGACAAGCCCTTTCTTTAGATACCAACAATTATTGACCTTGACCTTGGAGTTTGACCTACTTTTGGAATACTTTAACCTTGGCCATTTCTTTTGAACAGTTGGTTCTAGGGCCTTCATACTTCACATATGCAATCCTTGTGACAAGACCTTACTTTGAATAACAAGAACTTTTGACCTTTTGACCGTGACTTTGGAAAACTTTAACCTTGGCCATGTCTTTTAAACGGTTAGTGCTAGGGCTTTCATATTTCACATGTGTATTTCTTCTGAGAAGGCCTTTCCTTGGGCACCATTACATGTAATTTTGACCATTTGACCTTGATGTTTGTCTTACTTTTGAAAACTTTAACATTTTCCCTATCTTTTCAATGGTTGCTAGGGCTTTCATATTTCAGAGGTATATTCCCCGTTACAAGACCTTACCTTGGGTACCAGCAATATTTGATTTGCATTTGAGAAAGTTTAACCTTCGCTATAAGTTGCCATACGGGGGCATCAGTGTTTCACAAACACATCTTGTTTTATAATTATTATAGTGTTTAGGAGGGAAAATGAATTAATTATAGGTTTTGAAAGCATAGACATAAAAGATATTTAAAACTTTTTGAGGTTATGTTAATGATTTGCCACTCCATTTCAGTATTTTAAATATTCTACATTTGAATTGTATGGATAGAGAATTGAACAGCCGCAAAGTGACTTCCCTTACAACTGAGTTTTACTGTAGATGGTTTGAATAATGCGATAAATAAGTGATATGTCTAAGATCATAATGTAAAGACTCATGTAGACTGCACATTTGTAACATAATTGGTAGAGGTATACCTGGTATATTATCTTTTTGAAGTTGTCTTAGATTGTTCTCATCCACCTTCCAGGCATTATAAACATATTCATCTACGACATTGGACAGATCATTATTAATGACCACACAGTAGCAATATCGAAATCCTGGAGTCTTAATCCGTTCTTTTGAAAAATATCCTCTAAATGATACAGCCACATGACCATCAGGTAATCTAAAAAAAATTCATCTGTATACATGTACTGTGCATTTTCATTACTCCCATACTGTAGACATACTTTTTTTTCCTCATGGGATTAATTTACGCTTTCTCTATGGAAATTTGTCACAGCATACTTTCCAAAAGTTCCAAACATCTTAATTTTTGATACAATTACTTTATAATTATATAATATTACATGGAGTACAATATAATGAGTACTGGTACTCCTTAATTTGCAGGATGTTGGCTGATAAAAAAAGGGATTAAAACATCGATATAAGTTTGTTCTCGTCATTGAAACTGATACTTGGCAAATTGTATTTTCAACAATTTACTATTATTTACCCCTGCTCTTTAGGAGGTATCAGTGAATCAAGTTTGATGTCTGTCAAGCAGATTATGGGTTTCCAAAAATATAAATCAGATATCAATGGCTACTGACTGACAAACTGACATAGCGACTGACAGGTGCAATATGGCCCCTTTTTTTAAAGGGGCACTGTTCACTTGAGCATTGGCTAAAGTGAGCTGATAAAATAAACATGTCAGACAGACAGACAGACAAACATAAGACCAACTTCAACCAAAAGAAGCCTTTGCCGTAAGTGCACTAATAACACAGACTGAGTAACTGTGTTCCCAGAAAATATTTTTAAGCTATGAAATTCTTAATAATTTATCTTTATATTTAAGTCAATTTTGTAAACTTACAGTACACTGTATGTTGGCCACAAGTTCGTCAGTCCTCCATACTCTTCAAGAGCAAACCTGATACGAACACTGTTTACTGCTGAGTTGTCAATAAATTTTTTGGATGCTATTGCTTGAAAGTGGATTTCCACCACATCACTTTTACTTCTTGTTGTCATTTTGTCCGACCTATAGCAAGAAAAACAAGTATCATTAGTGTTTACTAGCCTGGGCCTTTATATTGTAAATTTGGAATAGTGACATTCAATCGTTTCATTATATATATATATATATATATATATATATATATATATATATATATATATATATATATATATATATATATATATATATATTTTTATATATATATATATATATATATATATATATATATATATATATATATATATAATTATATATACACCCCTCTAAACATACTAAATAATATTGTAGGATATCATTAGGGGTGAAACGATACACCTCCTTCACGGTTCGATACGTATTGTATAATTTTGTCTCGGTTCGGTTATTTTCGATACGATACATTTTGATAGAAGGAAACAAATTCTACGTTGTTTTATGCTTTCTTTTTCTAAATCTAGTCACATATTTTACGAATTTTATTTGCAAATTGACTAGAAGAAATTGATTAAAATCGTTTGACTGTCAAAAATTATTTTACAAGCTATCAGTCATCAAAAATTTACGTTTTCTATACTTATTTATTCTGAGTAACGTGTTATACCTTATGCCAAACCCGACTGAATAACGATCCCGACCGAAAAATGAACCGAACCGAAAATTAGAGATTTTGCACCGTGTATCAAACCGAGAAAAAATACCGCGGTGCATCGATACCGCGGTGAACCGTTTCACTCCTAGATATCATAAAAAAGCTCAATCAGCTCTGAGTTTCAAAATCTGCATGACTGTATAATTAACATGACTACTGTGAATAAACATACAATGTATACATGTATATGCATGTATGTGCAGTGCACATGAATAGAAAACTAGAAAGTGACCAAGGGTCTTAAATGTCTATGACACAAGGGCCATGAATTTCACAATTTTGTAAAGGACTCATTGCTTGTTATAATCATGCCAACAATCTGACCGTTTGAGGTCCAAGAGTAAAGTAAAAAGATTTTTGAAAATTGCAATAATTTTGATGTTTTGGCCGAATCCTTCAGGCCCCCAAGGGACAGGGACCATAAAATTCAAAAGTCTTGTCCCCCTCTGCCTATAGATGCGCTATATTAAAACTGGAGAAATTGGTTTAACAGTTTATGAGAAGAAGCTGAAAATATTTAAAAGTTTACGACCAATGGACAATGCAAAAGACATAAAAAACAGATGGCAATAGGTCACTTGAGTGACTCGGTGACTTAAAAATTATCAGTTTTGACATTTTAAATGTTAGATTTTACCAAAATATAAAGGTGTCTTGCTATATATCAATAAATATAACAAGGTTTTAAAGAATATAGGTTATCAGATCAATAAAGTCCCAAATAATCATCAATTATATTTTAAAACATGCTTTTACTTATCTAATAAGTTATATTACTAATCAAGATCTACACAAGATGGTGTTCTTATATATCTACATTTACTGCAATGTCTTTATTTTGGTATGTTCAAATTTTCATAATTTTAGTTGAATCAACAGCTCATCATTTTAGTCATAAAGTTGTTTATATACCTATTTGCAAAATAAAATAAATATATATATATATATAAATATAATACTGTAAACAAACTTTTGTGTGCGAGAAATATAGATCTGCGAGTTCCAGGACCTACTTTAACTCGCAAATATTAATTGTCGCAAATCAATTATTTTGCTTTGTATCTGTAGATTGAGAATGTTTCCCCAATCATGAAAAATAATCGTCGCAGATGACTTCAAACTGACGAATCACAAATAAAAGATGACGCAAATAATAGTTGGTTTACAGTATTCTATACTATTTCAAACTAGAGCATACCTTTCTGAGACAACAGAGGCAAAAGTCTTTTGTCCACTATTTGTGCTTGTCAAATTTTCATCCTATAAAATAAAAATAGTAAATTACTGTATACAGGAAAAAATTCACCTACACTTCATTTTTATCCCTTTCATCCTTATTGCAAGTGAGCAAATCTAAAATGAGCTAGGCAAACTCAAAAGAAAACAGCGTTATGTCTTTAACACAACTGTGTCTGGTGGAATTTACATGGGGGCTTAAATGTTTGCAGGTGTAAAAGGTCGAAAATAGCACTGGGTAAAAATAACCAGTATACAGTACTTCAAAATTTTTTCATTCAAAAACAATTACTGTAGATTCCTAAATATACGCGAGGAATTAATTATCGCGTAATTACGCGAGAAGCACCACTCACGAAATAAAAATATTCGCTTTTATTTTTATGGTGCTGAAATCAAAGTAAAATTTCTTGATCAACCGTCCACTCGTGAATTATTGTTCTCGCGATTTGATGTTAAAGAGTCATTTTGCGAAAATAAGTACTCACGAAAAATAAGGAATCTAGAGTAACCAATGGATTTTAAAAAATGAAATTACTTAACATAATCAACATGATGAAGATAACTGTTCAAGTTAGATACTTAATATTATCAATAAATTAAAAAAATAAATGCATGTTTCTTTCATAGCTGCCAGCATTAATTAAATTTGCATTTTATCTGGTTTGATTTCAAAGTCAGTGTTAGTAAACTTTAACTATTTCAACATGTTCAAGTTTGCAAGAAACCAAAATCAATTCCTTTTACACACAATGCTTGGAATAGTGACCAATCCTTCATCAGAAAAGTTATACTGGACCCTCGACTGACCTTTGCCTTTTCTTGATTTACTCCCCTTAGAGGGAAAAACATGATGACTCTTCATCTGTACAATTTTGAATCCCTTTACTTAACAAACTTTGAACCTACTTTGCTTCATCATTAATATGACTAATCAATCCTTTCTTGTTCTTGAGAAAAATTTCTTTTTAAAGAGTCTAAGGGGTCATGATTTGAACAAACTTGAATCAACACTATGTCAGAAAGCTTTCACATAAGTTTCATCTTTTCTGACCCAGTGCTTCTTAAGAAGATTTTTTTCCCCTTGGAAGAGGATGTTGCCCTTCATTTAAACAAACTTGAATCCCCATTACCCAAGTATACTCAGTGCCAAGTTTGATTGAAATGGGCCCAGTGGTTCTGGAGAAGAAAAAAGAATGAAAATTTGAAAAAGTTTATGACAAAGTCTACAATGCAGATATTGACAGATAGACAACAGAGAGATTTCGATCAGTAAAAAAAATACCTTTCCAGTAGCTTTGTTTCCTTGCAGTAGTTTTGGGTCTACACTACTGCCATCATCAGATTCATTGCGTGGTTTGCCATCACTAGATCCACTCCTTGTTTTGCCATCACTAGATCTGTTGCTTGATTTGCCATCATTAGAGCCATTGCTTTGTTGCTGGGTTTGGACATAATGCACAGGAATCTCTCTATAAGGTGTTTTGGATGTAGCACCATCACCCTGGTAGGTAAAAGATGTGTAGGATACATTCTTTGATGTTGAGTTTGATGTTGCCACATTAGGTGTTGAATAATTTTTGTCACTCTTTTTTGTTTCTGTATTCTTTGCTGAAGTAGTTGTAAGTTCATTTGAAGTAACAGCAGCATCTTTATTCAACACTGCTTTGTTTGCTCTATTTTTTTCTCTTCTTTCCTGCTTTTGCAAGTACTTTTCTTTTCCTTTCTTTCTTTGCTTTCGTCTTTTCTTTGACTTGGTTCCCTCTTTAACGCTTTCACTGCCTTTGTCCTTGTCTGAGTCTTCTTCACTCTTGCTGTCAGAATCACTGTCTGATTCTTCTAAGTCTTCTTCAGTTGCTTGCCTATCTTTGTCCTTATGCTCAGATTTCTGTTCCCCCTGAGAAACTTTTTGTTCAAGGTTCTCTTCTGAAGCATTTCCTTCCTTTTTATCTTTTTTGTTTTCAATCTGTGCACTTGCAGTGGTTGTATATTCAGTTGTTGAAATAATTTCTTGCTTTCCATTTGGTGGAACCCAAATATCAGAGGATTTTTCAACATCATTTTCTGTAGTAGCTTTATCTCCTGACTGAGAAGACTTGGTTTTATCCACTTGTTGCTGCACTCCTTGTGCTGCGGATGATGAGGATTGTACTGGGCTATTTAGACCTGGTTGTTTAGAACTAAGAGTTGTTTCAACTCTGCCTTGTCCAAATTGCTGTAAGTTAAGAGGGTCATTTAACAATGAAGTTTCTTTTGGGTCTCCGAAATCTTTTCTGCTTTTCTCCTCTATGTTTAATTGTTTATTTTGGCTGCTAGGTTTAGTTGAATCCAGGTGCCCTGTACTTCCACTTTGTGGTGCTCCAAACACACCTTGGATATTCTTTTCCCTTTCATCATGACCTTTATCTGTTTTTATGGATCTAACACCATTGCTTTCATTGCTTTTATCTGCATCCTTACAAGAAAGGTTCTTCATGTCTGCAACCACACTACAAATGGCAACTGAATTTCCATTTGAATCTAAGGAGTTTTCATTTTCATTTACCACAGTACAAAACTTCATCAACTGACTGTATTCATTTGTGGAGGCTTCACTTTTTTGTGCTGAATCCAATTTAAGCTGTTCCTGAACTACAGCTGGATATGAATTTGAATTATTGGTATTGCTGTTGATATCTGAAAAGGAAACAAAAGGTTCTTATGCCACAACACTTGGTTGAAATTGGCCAAATGGTTCTGGAGAAGGAAATGAAAATGTGAAAAGTTAATATCAACAACGACAACCAAAAGTCTCTGATAAAACTGTAACTCTATTGGTTTTTACTTAATTGACAAAGGTAGAGAAAGATAGTACTTAGACTTGAACCTATGGCAAACGCAGTAAATAAAATAAATATTAATGATCCTTGGTTAACTCTCTTTCTGAGTCAGGTTTAATTCCAATAGGACAAAAACTGTAGTAAGAGAATTTCACAAAAATTTCTACATTTCGTAACCATGGCAACACTGTTATCAAGATCAAATACCCATATACAGAATTATGTACCTTAGTGCATCTATTTGTCTACCAAGTTATATTGAAATTGAACTAAAACTGTAGGAAGAAGGGCATTTTGAAATAATTTCACAAAAATTCCTATTTTAAGTAACCATGGCAACACCATTCATCAAAATCAAAAGCTGATAAGCAGAATTATGTATCTTAGTGTAGTCTATTTGTCTACAAAATTATATTGAAATTGGACTAAAACTCTAGGAGGAGTAGCATTTTGAAAAATTTACAGACAATCACAAAGATAGCTAGACACCTTACTATTGCATAAGCTCTTCTGTCTCTGACTAGTAGCTAGAGCTAAAAAAACAACAATGAAGCACAATGGACAAATCTTGATCAGAAAAGCTCACTTGAGCCTTCGAATCAGGTGAGCCAATTACCCAGTGTATCACCAAGGAAATGAGAAAAATAAGTATTTTTTAAATCTGTATGGGACACAAGATCAGATTTTGCTTATTTTGAACTAAATTTGCATATGGTCATATTAAAAAACACAGATAATCAGAGATTACAGAGCTCACTGCAACAAATGTTGTCTTTAAGTAAGGCAAAGTCCCACACTAATCTAATAATCTAGTAGTGTGCCTCCATTGGTGCAATATTTATGCAATTTTGATATGATAGGACTTGCAGTTACATGGGAATGGACTTGTTCTAAAAGATTTAAACTAGTCACTCATCCAGAAAATGTAAGTTTGTTTGTTTGTTTGTTTAACATCCATTTTGAGAATTTTTCACTCATATTGAGATGCCACCACTTGTCAGTGGAGGGCTGCAAATTTAGGCCTATACTCGGCACTCAAGGCCGTTGAGCACTGAGGGACCTTTTTCGTGCCAGCACCTACTGCGACACGGAACCTAGGTTTATACTGACTGTCTCATCCAAAGGACCAGTCTCCATCTCCAACGTGGGATTCAGACCCAACACGTAGGGATCAACTCCTTACTCCAAGACTCTAGAGCAAACACTCTAACCACTGTGCCAAGCAGGTGATAAAATGTAAGTCAAATCAAGCAGCTGAGGCAAGTTTGAGAGTTTTCATCCCCTGATGCATCAACTAAGTTCCAAAAACTTTAACCTGGACACTCATCTGGAATATGTACGTCAAACCCAGCATCTGAAGCAACTCTGGTAGTGTGCACCCCTGACGCATCATCCAGGCAAGTTTTGGTTCAGATAGGCCTTACAGTTTTTAGGTTATAAACTTGCTCCAAAAACTTTAACCTAGTCACTCATCTGGAAAATGTAGGTCAAATCCAGCATCTGAAGCAACTCTGGTAGTGTGCATCTCCTGATGCATCATCTGTGCAAGTTTGGTTCACTGGTAGGCCTTTAATATATATATATGTAGTTTTTTCATAATGGACCTGCTGCAAAAACTTTAACCTAGTCATTTATCTGGAAAATGTAGGTCAAATCCCACATCCAGAGCAACTCTGGTAGTGTGCATCAATAAATGCATCTTCGATGCAAAGTTGGTGAGCATTGGGCTTATAGTCACTTAAGAATGAACCTGTTCCAAAAACTTTAACCTGCATGGTCACTCATCCTGAAAATGTAGGTCATATCCAAGTCCAGTAGGTGCATCCTTTGATTTATCATCCATTCAAGTTTGTCAACAGAGGGCTTCTAGTTACTTGGAAATGAGACTTGTTCCAAAAACTTTGACCTGCTCTAAAAACTTTAATCTGCTCCAAAAACATTAACCTGGTCATTTTATAGCTGATGTTGCAGCATCTGAAACCTTGACTGGTACAATGAAACATACCAGAAGCATCGTCCATGCATCTCTGATTAATATAGGGCATAAAAGTACTTGAAAAGAAATCTGCCCCAAAAACTTTAACCAGGGATGCCAACGCTGACACCAACACTGATGCCCCAGGTAAGCTCCCCCCCAGCTTTGCTGAGGTGAGATAAAAAATGTGTTGGTCCCTTGAATTTCAATATATCCAAAGTAGAATGCATGTACATTGGAAAAATGGTAATTGACAAAAACTGTCAAATGAATCCTAGATGGTTATTTCTTATATTTATCTTTATAAACTATCAGAAATATTTCTTGTGTCAACATCCGCTCAAACACAATCCACTGAAGTCCACGAAATACTAGAAATGCATATTAGTGAATGTAAATATTTTGACCTAATTCTAAACTTTTGCAACAATTATTCATACCCTCAGTTTTTGATGATCCAAAGTCAGGAGGTGTGCCACATTTTGAGCAGAACATAACGTTGGGTGTCACAATGTTGTCACAAGGCGCACCATTCTGCAGCATTCCACTGCACATTTTTGCGCTGGGTAGGAAACAAGCAGGATTTATCTTCCATCCGCATTGATTGCAAAATTTCTTTCCTTCCTTGATTTCCTCACCACATGGTTCAGGGGTCCTGACCTCATCCTGAATGGTACTGGGGCAAGGGATTGCCCCAGCTGTAGTATCTTTCAACACTTTCTGTCCACACTCGGGACAAAAGTTGTCTTTGTCCTGAAGTGGATTACTGCACTTAACACAGTTCATGATGATAATTTCTTTTTCCTCTACAAAAAATTTAATGAGACATACACACAATCTAAGGAAAGGAAAGCAGATATGTGCCAAGCATACGCTCTCCTATTACATTTTTTTGTGCTTCTGTAAATTTTGTTTGTTCAATTTTAGTCTATATGCAGCGTTACATCATTCAATAATTTATTTTGCACAATCATACCGTTACATATTAACCTCCAAAATATATATTGTTTCAGCAATTGTTTCTTGAAGGAACACTTCGTTATGAACGGAACTTGGACCTATAGGGCCACAACAGTTTTAGTTTTTACAAAATTAAAGATTGTGGATTTCTGTTCTGGTCAATGACTTTACGCTACATACATGTAACAATTCGTTTCTCATAAATCATTTTATATCAGTATGTAGAGATAGGAGGAACCTTTCAATAGGCATTAACTATATATGAAGCATGATATTGTCAATGCATTTCGAGTTAAATTGTTATCTCGAAATGTTACTTGATATTTTTCATTGTAAATAATGGTAATGTCTATATAGTCAATTTTTTTCTTGATGCTTGTTTATTTTACAATACATTTCTGTGGATATAATAAAAACATGCCATTAAATTAATGTATATAAATTATGTAACTGAAATCCAAGGGAGTGCAGTTACTAATACAGTGAAACCTCGTTATCTTGATTTCAATAGGACTGAGAAAAAACTTCAAGATATCTGCATGAGTATTCGAGATATCAGGGGTAAAAAAGTTATTAAAGAATAAGTGGTTGGGACTTCCAAATCACTAATCCATGGTATTTGAGATATCAGTGTTCGAGATTCCGAAATTCAACTGTATGTAGCCCCACTCTTCCAAAACTTGAGATCTGAATTTAGGATATTGACTACAAGAGTACTTGAACGTAATTGTAAATAAATTAAGCTCAAATAACCAGCAATACGTATTCTTCCCAGCGCAATAACCCAGACAAGTACTAGTAGTACAAAAGGAATAAAAGCAATGTAATACACTAAATTTATAAAATTCTAAGGAAGATATTCACAATTAGATCCTTCTCCTCAAAGAAAGTGTGCTATGCTGATCGAGGTATAGTTCCGTTGGACTGTGTTTTAGTTACAATGAAAATAACCTTCATAATTTTTGTAAATTTTTAAAAATGACCCTTTTCGAAATTATAGCGGAAAATTATCCCCTCTGCCTTTTTCCCTAATTCACGTTTCTCAGGCATCTTTCAGACTTGGGACGATAAAATGCTATGAATCTACAAATAAACATAAAAAAATTCCAAGTTGGGAAATATCTTTTGCTTTAAAAATGATATTTACATTTTATTTTATCACATTTTTCAAATGTAAAGTGCATTTAAATGTAGATTTATAGGCAATTTTTACTATGACCCCCCCCCTTTTCCCCCTTACTTTTCTTTTTTATGCGACACAGACTATTGGAGGTTGATGAAACATCGGATACATTACACTAACAGATATATTTAGTCCATTGAATTCCTAAAGTCCTAATTTGTTAATCTGTGTATCCATATTTAAAATTGACTAATAGATCCAGTATGTTTTGTATTTGAAGTAAAAAATTTTATGCTCAAGCCACACAGATGCCTTTATATTTGATACCTGGATATGAAATTCAACTGACATTGAAATTTACTTTCATTTTAATGATTTTTTTTTATTTCTATTTATTGTTAAAAGTGAACCCACAATGGCGTATATTCAACTCTTCTGTGATATAAATGGAATATTTATAGTTTCTTTATATTTTCAAACAAAAGAGCGTGTGGGGATACCCCCCACCCCCACCACATATGTATTTTTCAAAGTGCATTGATTTTGTCCCAAATTTAGCACACTTTCAAAAAAATTTCATACTACGTTGATTTTGTCCCGATTTTAACGCACTTTGAACAAAAATTTTCAAAGTGCGTTGCCACATAGCCTTCACACTCTCCCCTTCGTTCTTGCCCCCTCTACATCACTTTTTTACCATTCGAAGCTTCTTTTTCCTCCTCCTTCCCGCTTTTCTTCCACTCCCTTATAATGCTTTATATTTTGATTTTTATCTCCTGTCCCTGGAAATTGAATAGCCAAGCCGCATCATTTCTCGGTTATTCAAAACGAAAGTAAGAAATTCGTTATATGTACATGATGCAGTACAATGTATATATCGGACCAAAAAAGTGAACACATTCAATTTAAATATAAACAATACTGTTCTGATAAAATATCTCCACTTTTAATAACATGTTTTAGAAAGAAAAAAAATATGACAGTAAGTGTCTGCACTCCTAGGCCTATAATGTTTACCATATTTACATGATCTTCTCCTGAGCTAGTGAGTAGTGTACAGCCACTGTAACTTACAAAAGTAATCATCATTCATTTGGACGTAAACTAATATGACAAAACTTACAGTGTTGACTTACAGTGCACATTTCAGTCAATCATTTTGGAAAAATAATATTAGTTCTGCTTTCGCTTTTCTTTCTTGTTACAGTGTGGTTGCGTGCAAGTGTCAAAAAAAACGATAAATGGTAGTCGTAAATAATCCGGAAAAATGAATCAAGTATCCAGTGGCGTAGCACGGAAGCACATGCTTCCACCTTGTTCGGTTAACGCATTTATAACAATATATATTATGAATAATAACTACAAAAAGTATTTAGAAAAAACGTTAACGTTTAACATTTTATGGTTTAAAATGTAAAACTTTTTATGTCTATCCGACTATCGTCATGTGTCTAAAATGCACCAGTTTCCAGGGGCTTCGAACCCAGAGTCCCCCAGGACTTCACCTTGATCCCACCGGAGCCTTATGCTGCCCCTTCAACTTCAACGTGGATACTCGCGAAAATCCAATAAGGACATTTACTAGCGAGGACTATGTACTATGTTTTATTTGCTTGTCAAGGAATTTTGGTAGTTGATAGTGCCCCCCCCCCAACTGAAAACGTATGGTTGTGCCCCCTCAAAGTGAAATTGCTTCCTACAGGCCTGAACAGAATGCCGAAATAGCAGGCTTCCTAAGATACACCTATTCGTCTTTGTTGATCCAGTAAATTAGATAAAAACAAAAAATCTTGAAACAGTCTTGAAAATATCATGTACATATATAGCTGTATAGTGTACTGTTAAGTTCCTGCATGGTTCAATGCATGAAAATAATCTGGATAATCATTATGCCTACGTCTGTGGAAATGAATATTATGAAGGAGGGTCAAATTATGAGCCATCATATGTTAGTCGTCACCCCCTCGCACATTCCACTTCCCGCGATCGTGTTGTCCGAGTCACCCAAGGAACACCGAAGTGAACAATTATACCATAAACTACACCATATGAAACTAAAAACTATTTGTTGTTATCATAATTTTTTTTAAAAATTTCAATAGCTTGCCTTTTTGAAATTTTTTAACACAACTTTTCTTTTTTGAAGAGTGATTATTTTTAAAAAGTCATTGACTGAGACACGAATTGATGCTAAGAACTGGACTAGATACCTTCTTCCACATTCTCTTCCGTTGCGATCTCCATACTTCATGCGATTGCGTGTATCACATATTAAGCCTTAAAATTTTCAATATATCAAAAAGAAAGTATAGGTCCATTCACAGCATACCAAATCTATATGTACACGTATTTTACCTTTCGGTTTTCCGAAAATGCGATAGTGGCACATTGTCCTTAAAATTGAATAGTTTCGTTTTACATACATGGAAAAGATGTCATAATTATTTAGTAAATTTTTGTATTATGATATTTTTAGTGTGTATACCATATATAAGTAAAATATACTCTTCAATGAAAAAAGGTGGGTTTTTTTTCGTTGCAAAGAAAAATGGTATGTAACAAGGCCAACTCCTCCTCACATCTATATCCAATATTTTTCACGTCGAAAACTGTTGAAACCTACCCCACCACAACAAAATGGGATTTTCGTGTTTGGACAATATATAAATATATATATTCTTGCTAAAAATTTCGGGTAAGTTGAAAATTAACATAGATCTACACCCCTTCGTCTCGCTTTGACGTCTGAATAAATAATCAGATGCCATTCACGAGTTTATAAACTTTAATTTTTTTTAAAGAAGTCCTTCAAATTAAGAAAAATCAGCGGCATCTTCTAAAATATTCATAGTATTTATAATGTATCAGTTGTAAAATTTTATAGCGATGAACTGTGAAGATAATGAACATTGATCATGCATACACGTCCAAAAGTCCAATACAATACAAGTTGTGAGCAGAGCCAACGCGGACTTCAAACTCTGAATACAGAGGAGGGATCAGGTGCCACGGAGGAGTAAGCATCCCCTGTAGACCGGTGTCGCATAATATTTGGTCCGCCTCGTTTAAAGGTCCGGGGGGACCTAATACGATAACATATAAGGTCCGCCTTTTATAAGAAAAGGTCCGGCCCGTATAAGAAAAGGTCCGCCGAAGTTTAAAGGTCCGGGTGGTGCAAAATGTTTTAATCTTGACTTAAACACATAAAATTAAAGAGAGTTTGTTTACATCATATGAAGAAAGATTAAGGATTTACTCTAGCTGTTATTATTATATTTTTGTACAATATATCTCTTAGGGCAGGAATTGCTACTCCATGTTTAGTGTGCTTTTAGCAATACCGTTTAGGGCAATGATTTAAAAAAAAAATGTCGCATTTATTGGGCTTGTGTTTGTTTTTCCCCAGCATTTGCTTTGTGTAAATTAGGACGATTGAAGGTGTGAAATCTGCCGGTGTGTATAGGCAATAAAACAATGGGGGTGTGAAGTATTCGTATACCTGACAGGTACCCGCAGGTAGAGCCCGCGGCAGATAGCAATGACAATGTAATGGTCATGTGTTTGCTTTAAATCAATAGATATGAATTCTCTATTTTAATGAATTATGCTGAAGAACAAATTATAATACTATTATGATATTCATGCGTACACATCAAAATTGTGATATAATTATATAATAATATATAGTCTATTTTTATTACAATATTTAAAGAAATTTCTTAT